GCTTCCAGCCGCACCTTCGCCGCCCCCCCCCCCCCCCCCACTCTCACAACACACGCACGCTCGCACGCGCGTGCGCTGCAGGGGACTGCATCCTTTTCCTGTCCGGAGCAATCCATTTAGGGCCGAGGTTCTATTTACCCGTCACACCACCACCGCCAAGAAAAAGAGAACAGAGCAAGATATCCGAGACAAGGCCCTGCAAAAAGGCATAAAAAGATGGTCAAGCCATATGCAAGCCATACTTTGCAGACCTGATCCGTGCACAGTTGATCGGCTCGCTCGCGCACCTTCTTTGGCCGTGGCGTCGGGCCAAGCACGCCATGAAACAGTTCCGTGCAGAACAACACTTCCTGTTGAAGCTGCACGCATTCAGTTGAACCCGCAGGCATTCATCACCGATATCTCTTCAAAAATGAAGTATGAAAAATGAAGCCTCAAAAGCTGTTGCCTCATCACACATTTACCGGTTCCAAATTGACATTGAATTGCACTCTGTAATACCTGCCTCCATCGTTTCATCAGATGACGTGCATTTTCTCATCGCATAACAGTCCTATTTTAATCTACTACACCCGTCTCACATCACTTGTTAAATCGGCACATCCGTGAATCAAACACTCCAACTTCATCCCATATCTCCCGCCTCCCCCTATCCTGTATAATCTACATCACCAAGCATTTCTATTGTCATGATAGTATGTCTGGCAATGTCTATTTTCTCGCATGTAACAGCCGACTACTCTTACACCTACCCGACTTCTTTCTGCCCGTATTGCCAACAAATCAAACATACAGCCAATAGAACAAAAGACTCGACCTAAAACTTGGGTATCCCGTAATCAACCGATCAAAAAGCAGTAGCAACCGTCCGTGTCCGCTAAAACAACCCCAAAAACAAGCTTCCGATAATGAAACAATAACCAAAAACGATCAAGCCCTGCAGGGACCATACCACCACTGGTGCGCATAAGCCGCGCATAAAACATAATAAAAGAAACCGTAAAAGACGTCAAGCACGCGTGTCGAGCCGCAGTCCTCCCTATTAAAATTGCTCCGCTCCCCGTTCTTCTGGCTCACAAGGCCTCACCAACAACTTCACCTCCAGGTACAATCGCCATCACGTCAATCGGCAGAGGTGACTGCCCAAGAGGCACTAGCTTCTTCGCATCCTCGTCCACAAACTCTAGCTTCGTCCCGGGTGCAAGTCGCACGCTGCCTCGTACGCCTCTAACAATCTGGCCGCTCTCCACCCGGTCTTGGATCATTTCTTCCAGCATCTTGCTCATCTCATCCACACTCTTGGTCCGTCGTCCATGGCCCATGCTCGGTGTTTGCTCCGCCACAGCCTTTTCAACCTCGGGGTTCGAGAATCGCACCTCGCCAGATGCGTCAGCCGTGTCGCGCGAGCGTGCTGCACTACGCAGGGCTGCAAGCATGCGGTCCTTGTCATCAAGCCTGGCTCGGAGATCGGCAATCTCGGCGTCCTTTTCCCTTAGCACTGCCGACACGCTGTGATCCTCTCCAACCATAATGGCCTTGCCTGGTGCTGAAAGGCCGACCGATGTTCTCGATGAGCTCGCGCGGCGAGCTTGAAGAAGTCGCTTCTCCAGGGTCGCAATGTACCGGTTCTTGTCCGCCAAATCCGCCTGAAGTGCATGGTTTTGAGCCGTGAGCGACGCATTACCATCTCCAAACTCGCCCATGCCATCTTCTTCCGTCACGGCTGCCCCTTCACCCTCGCCGCTGATTCTCCGCCCTCCATTCGAGCGTCTGCCAATTGTTGACGATGAAGTAACTGATGTGGTCTTGTCAAGCAACGACTCGCGTCCACCCAGTGACTCACGTCCTGCAAACGAATCACGTCCGCCCAAAGACTCTCGGCCTACAAAAGAATCCCGGCCGCCAAAAGACTCGCGTCCGTTGCTTTGTGTCGTCATTGACGATCGGATAGATCCCGTCAAGGAGAGCTGAGAAAATCTGGCATATTGGCTGAGCGAGCTGAGCGAGCCACTCGAGTTGACTCCGATTGATTTCGAGCTCAAAATGAGACGATTCAGGTGGTCAATGCGTTCTTTGAGCGCAGTACGCGCGAGCTGCATCTCCAGCATCTGTTCCTCGCGTCTCTCGGCCGCCTCGAGCTCGAACGCTCTCTCTTGCTCCTCGTCCCGGTCCTTTTCAGTAGCGTCGTCAACCTGCCCCTTCTTCTTGTTCTTGGATTGCGCCTCCAGCTGCTGTCGAAGTTCCACAATCTCCATGCGGTAACGCTCCAGCAGCACTCTGGCACCGCCTTCGCCACCTGAACCAAGAGCCTCTTCGGCCTTTTTTGCGTGACTGATGATGCTGTTCTTTGCTCTGCTCGCAAATTTGAGCGTGTTGAGAGTTTCCGTGGTGTGACTGTTGGCGGCAGCTGCGCTGTTGGCTGCCCCAATCTGGATGGTGCACAGAATGCTGACCAATGAATTACCAGCAAGCGCACCTTGCAGTAATCTTGTCAATTTGGAGTCACGGTACGGTAAATGCTTGCCGTCTTTGTCACTGGCTTTGCCCTCCTTGTCCTTCCACTCGGAGAGCTTGGCAATAACCGTTCCCAAGGTAAGAAGACTCTTGTTGATGTGTGCACCCTCCTGTCGGCGCTCCTTGGATTCAGCAGCCTTTTCTGAGCCTGCAAGATCGATCAGGCTAAGCGTCGAAACGCGGACGCCACCAGGCAGGATCCCAGAGCGTTTGCTATTCTCAACGGCACCAGCGGGCAGGCGCTGACGGCTTTCGACGACAATCTGCACAACAGCATGACTTCGCGAACTGCGGGCGTTGAATTGTGTACTCGCTGTGCGACGTGCCTGATCGCCTCGAGCAATGACCCTCAGCAGCTGCGTGGGACTCTGCACGATTTCTTCCTTCAGCGGCGTAGCGTACACGCCGCGTTTGCTGTCTTCCCGCAACTTGATTTCCTCTTGCTGGGCGCCGCCTACACCACCACCGGTAGGCATGCTCAACAAGTCGTGAATTCTTTCGTTGTAAATCTCCAAGTAACTCACTCGAAGGAGGAATTCGCGCGAGGGAGTTTCACGGATATAAGAGAAGATGTCTGTAATGGCCAATGGAATGACACCAGGTTGCGTGGCGGTGCCCTGCATAGAAAATGTTTTACCTGTTCCGGTCATGCCGTAGGCAAATACAGTGCCGTGGTAACCCTCCATTACGCGTCGTACAAGACGTTTGGCGATATGGTCATATACTCGAGAGTTGTTGTCGTGAGTAGTGAAAACATTGTCTGCGGAATGTGAGCTGGGGTGCCTCAATACAATTGCTGACACTTAAAGCTTACCATAGACATGGTCTCCTCCTTCCTTTCCTTTATATGAAATCAGTGACTTGCGTCCGTCAACCATCCATTCTCCTTCTGGGGTCTGGTCCTTTCCGGTGGTGTCGGGACGGACACGAACACTGACAACGACGTTTCCCTTGCCCTCGGATTTGGATGATCGCTTATCAAAGCCTTCTGAGGTGTCGGTAGAGGTACCGAACTCTGTCTTTTGATTCTGAGTCTCCATTGGTTCGTCGTAGGTGGTGGCGGAGGTTGAGTATGAATCCTGGGCCGAGGAGCTACGGCTCTGTGTCGGTGATCCGATGCTAATGAGGCCGTCGGACATGCGAATCGATTTGCCTTCACCGCTGCCGTTGAGCAGGCTGGGTGTGCTGGAGACGTAGGCGCTCTGGGATGGCAGTTCTTTAAGCAGCTTAGACTTGCGAGAATTCCGTGGCGTCTTTTCGTTGGCTAGAGGGCTGGGCGGGAGGCTGCTGGATCGCTGTTCTCCACGAGGAGGGTGAGGGAAGGAATTGATGCTAACACTCTTCCTCAATGTCTTGCCGGCGCCATTGACTGGCGTGGCAAGACCCTTGAGCTGTGGCAGCGCAGACGATGGAGCAGACGTTGTCGAGTTCAGGTTCATAGAGGGAGCTCGAAGGCTGCTGGTGCGAGGCGTTGTGGGGTTGGTCGCTATGCCAGAGGGTCGAGGGATGCCTGGAGCAGAACTCGGAGTCGGTGATGAAGGAGTAGCGTGCATGCCTCCTGTGCTTTTCCGTGATTTCGAGACTGGCAATGCTGGCAAGGCTGGTAGGGCCATGCTTGGCGGCCCGTTTGACGGCCGCGAGGGGCGGGGTAGGGTGGTGGCCATTTTGGCGGTGGATATTTCTATGTGTATATGGTGAGAACGTTGACTTGGTAGGCGAGCTATGGTGGTGCTTGGCTATAGAGATTTGCAAGCCGTAGCAGACTGAGACTTGGCGCTCAGAAGCCCAACGAGTCCATGAATGACTGTCTATCAAGAAATGGTCGGTCAGAGTCGGAAGCCGGCGTATGCTGTCTATCCTGGTCTCAAGAAAAAAGCCGACTGCCGTCTAAACGATAAATGAACGAGCTGGTAGCCGGATTTGTGAATGATAGTGGACTAGTCCCTGGCGGGACTATTGGCGAAGGTCTTGGGCGGTGAAGTGGTTGGCTATTTTGGCTGTTGATGGCGCTCGGTAATGACTAGTTGGATTGTCAGTGCTGCACAGGCGCATACGCTCAATCGTGACGCAATACAAAATACGAGAACTGTATGCCAGTGCAAGTGAAGATGCAAAGAGCGGGAGGTAGAGTTGTGAGGGTGAGATGGCGAGTCCGAGGAGTGACAGGAGAGGCGAGACGGGGCCAGTCAAGACTCAACTGCAGGTGGTTGTGCTCCAAGGTTGCGGGTTGCAGCAAGGATGGACTGCAGCAAGAGCACGGTGAGGGTGCACAAGAGCGTGGAACAGAAGCAAAACCAGACGGAAAAGCGATGACATGCGTCTCGGGGCACTAGCAAGCACAGCAAGCTAACAGAGGATAAGGAAATATGCATACATATAGGTGGGTGATGTTGAGGTTTTCTTTTTTGTCTTGGATGAAAGAAGATAGTGGTAGAGCGGTTGCCGGAGGGCGAGGCGGGCGAGACGGAAGCGACCTTCCACAGAATGTCTTGTGCGGCACACCTTTTAACAATGCGAGACGGGCGGCAAAAGAAATGGAGGAAGCGAATGCGACGAAAAGGAGCGCAGGAAGTTTTGGCGATGCAGATGCAGTGTTTCTGGGGAAGAGGAGAGAAAGGATGAGGGAACGAGAGAAGGGTCACGGAAAGCCTAACATGGAAGAGAACAGGGGATGATGGATGGCTTTACCAGCGGCCGGCGGGCTGCATCAGAGGTTGAGGGGCTACCTAGGTAGGTACTGGATGCCAGCGGTTCGTTGTTAGGCGGGTTGCGGGTGGCTAATGGCGTCTTTCAGGGACCTTTTCAGGCGCTATAAACTGCTCAAGAGCCCAAGACCGCCCAAAACAGCCTGTGACAGATTCGACTGTTGTTCAGGCGGTCCCGGTACTTTGCAACCCAAGTTCTAGCGGCCGCTAGCGCCTTTAAACGGGCCGGTGGTGGCGCGAATCGGGGAGCGGCAGCCTGCAGACCAACACATTTCATGGCTACCTATCTAACTACTGAAGTGTTGCAGTTTTTCTAATTTGATGAATTCTTCCTTTCATGACGGAAAGAGGAAAAAAAGAAAAAGAAAGGGCAAGCGGGTCAGGGACAGAGAAGAGGGTTCAAATCGATACTGACGGGTTCTGAGGCGGGTCAGGGAGAATGGCATATAGCCTTGTGTGTCTGGTACGGATTACTCCGTACAAAGATACAACCGAGGGGAGGGGCATGGTGGCAACGGTGATAATAAGACAAGGAGAGCAATCACAAAAAGCAGCATGAATACAACAGAAGCAGCATGAATTGCCAATGGCACCATTCGCTCAATCATCAGCATGGCGTTGCCAAAGGTGACTAGTCGCAACTATTACCAGAAGATGGAGTCACCGGGACAAAAAGCTGTAATTACCGTAATTACCACGGACAGGGATGAGGCTTGCAGGGTCGAGTCTCTGCCCAGTCACAGGTTATAATTACAGTATCCAAGTCACATTGCTCTCCAATGCGCCTCTTGAGTCTTGCCTACCTAGATCAGGGGCAGCGCCGGGGTCTGCTCGACGCCATTGCCAATTTGAGGTCTAACTAGGTCTAGAGACTTGAGAGGGAACGAGCATGGTTCATCGAAATGGCTAGCTAGCTGCACGTTGCGATTGTGCCTAATAATAAATGAAGAATGATGATACCAGTAAAAAGGTTGCACAGGTTGGTTGCAATCTGGCGGCGCAATCACCTTGCAGGATGATTATACTGTGCTGGTACCTGCGCCTTGTCCGATGCCTGCTGCCGTCCAACACGCATTGCATGTAGCGCCGTCCCCGTCCCAAATCGCCCGTCGACAAAAGCAAGACATGCTTTCAAGACGCTTCTGCCCTATCGGATTCGTTTTGGCATCGTCTCGAGAGTTGAGATCAGCGCGCACAGCTCCTTTTCGCACTTGGCACCCATCGTCATAGCGCCGCCGCGCGCGTCCCTAAGCCGTCGTGGCTTGCAGGCCGCCGCACCCCGGAAGACAGCATCCACTTGCCACCAAAGGAACGATCCCCGCCGCATTATTAGAAAAAGGGAACGAGGGATGGGGAGATTTGGCTTTTTTGCACGACGCCACAAGGACCATCAAAAGGGCCAAGCCCCTGACATGGTTGGTGGGCCGTATCGGCCTCTCGACTCTGTACCTCCTCCCAGGTACCTACCTTAGGCTCTACATTCACTAATCACTCACTGAAAAAAAGGTTGATCAGGGGCCAAATCTGCTCTGTGGCAAATTCTCGAGTGCTGTAATCCGTACCTTACTTGAGCATTATCAGGCCCAGTTGGCGCGCCCCGCTCCCCGTACTAGCTTCTGCGCTAGCACGTAGCGTCTTCGCACCTCCGTGATATCACATTCAGACTTTTTTTTCCAAGTTCGACTACGGATTACCTACCATCGTTAATGTACAACTATTCAGTCAACCTTCTTTATCGCTTCTCCGCCTTGACGCTCACTGCATCACACCCATCATCCTGATTCCTGACTCAATAATCGATATTACTAGCCAAATTCGGCACGAGCTCATCTGCCCTCTGACTCGAGCCCGAACGCGCGGCGTTATGGTCTCCCAACGCCTACGCCTTGAGCCCAACATTACCCTCCAGATATTGGGGGTTTTTCATATCCCAAGTAATACGCCACTAGAAGAACCGAATAGCCGTCTGATATATGCTGATATATGCTGATACATGCATGCTGCAACACTTGGAGTCAGAGAATTTGCAGCCCTTGGCTACGAACACGCTTGTCAACCCGTCGACGAACCGGTCCGAGACATGCAGCCGTTCTATGATGCACAGATAAATTAAAGCCCTTCAGCTGGTGCTCTTTCCGTCTGCAAAGTTTGAAACTGTATGGCTAGCCGTCCCTGCCCAACACCACGCCTCCACGCCGCCATTTTAGCTCTGTCACCACCCTCGCCTCGCCAATCACCTTGCACATGCAGGTACCCTTTGACACCCAGACAGCCAGATCACCACGCCACGCCAAGACTCCACGCTGAGCCCGGCAACGTGGGTCTTCGCCAGCAATCTGTTGACTCGGTACCCCCGTGCCTCTGGCCTATTTCGACGTCAATTGTTATTCTTGCCCATCTGCCGACGAGTTCCTGTATCAGCTACTGCTTTCAACCGACCTTCTTGCGTTACTTTTCCGCGTCCACGAATTCCTGCTCTCTTCCTCGAAGCCGCGGTGCTTGCTCTCTTGGCCTCGTGCACCGTGACTGCCTCGGTCTTGCTTCGGCAGTCTTGCTGTTATCAGGCCTAGACGTTGCAACGGACATGCCCCCTCGATTTGCTCCGGACCTCGCTACGTATTGATAATTTCCCGCTCAGGCTCAATATTTCGGGGCCATGTGGCTTACGCGCCACCCCCGGCTCCCACCGTTCACCGTCGAAATTTGCCTTTTCCATCGGTGTTAGCTGCTCATTACTGGAGCTTTGACAGCCTCCCCACTGAGGAGCAATGGTTTACTAACCGATCTTGCGCAATTGCATCTAGCTGAGCATGCCGGTGAGGCTTATATTGGTCGTTTTCTTCTCACCGCACAAGCTAATACGATTCGTAACTGACCGGTCATTGCATCAGAGCTGCAGAGCCATCGGGTGGGATAACTACACGTGCAGCATCAGGCTAAATCTCCTGCAGCCGAAGCTCAGGGGAAGTTGTGGATTGAGCCGACCAAGCCCTGTTCAATACGACTGACCTGCGTGTAGCTATTTACCAGTATGCCTTGACAATTGCCACCCGAAAATCGTTGGTATTCGATTGTCCCCAAATATTTCGTCTTTACCTTGGTTGCTGCCGCCTTCTTCATCCTTCACGCATGCTGTTCACACAAGGACGGCAATCAGCATAAGATGACAGCCACGTGCGCCTGGCATATCTAGCTACACCAAGAGAAATATTACCGTGCGGCATGCTAATGCAGGCACACGGCAGCATAGGGATAGATCAGCATATCATAGGCCAAAGCTTGGCGACCGACCCGACCGCAACTTAATACTTTGTAATCCGTACATACAATACGTCCCCGCTCTGCTACAGAAAATACCACTTCTTACGGGGTAATCCGTACCAACCGTATGCTTCAATGGACGATCCAACCCCGGGTCACAATTCATGGCCGTCTTCTCCAGCATCGTGCATGCAGCCCTCCCGCCGTCCGTGCGCCGTCCTAACTTACTTGATGAGCCTAGACTCTCGCTTGATTGTCACTCGACAGCATATTTATGCGTCGACGCGTGATGCCAAGTTCGGCACCTACATCCCCGTCTCATCCCACTTGCCGATCAAACTGGACGTTTTGTTAACCGGGCGGTAAACGGCCAGGGAGTCACCCCCTAAATATGGCTTGGTACGGCGATTCTCCAAAATATTTTGGCAAAAGTCTTTTTCCATGTTTCATGGCATTCATCTGATCCAGGGCGGAGCAAAGACGTTTCCCGCACATGATTCGGCGATTTCGTCTGAATGGCGTTACCTGAAGCAAGGTAGAGGAGGCTGTCGAGCATGGCGGTCAGCTAGTCGCTGGCCGAAGTCTGTATACTTGTACGACGCGCATGTCTTGCATCTTCTTCATTCTGTCAGTCTAGTTATGACAATTTGCACATCAACACCAGCTCGTCAGAGCCCTTCGGCGTATCCCGTCTTTGCCGTAGTGTATCAATAGTGTGACAGCGTTAACTCTGCTAAGGACCAACTCTTACTAGGTTCAAGGTCCAGCTGCCACGGCAAAATCCTCCGTGCACGACTATGCGCGCATGTTTGCCCACATCACCCCTGTCCCTATCACAAGATCCCGGGCCCTGCTGTTCTTGGCCCCCGACTTAACTATGCATCCTATTTACATCCCAGTCCAACATTCAACGCGCAGTGTCGCATCTGCAAATTGTCCCGACAGCGATGCTGCCATGTGGTATCAGCATTGTTGGATCGAAGTCACGTCCACCGTCAAAATCGAGGACGGCTTCCCTGCTCAGAGGCTGAGCTTGACCTTTTATAGGGGGTATTATACACCACACGAAACTTTGAAAAGAACCGATACCACCACTGTCTCCAAAGCATGTTGGCAAAAAAAGAGCATGCCAAATCATTAGCCTCCCAGCGCCCTCACCCCACGTCCAACCGACCCCGTCTGGAAAACCTCCACTACGCCCAGCCCGACGGCCTCGCCCAGCACCCATGCCCACTCGGCGCCTTGAAACTCCTTCCACCGCGGTCCATACAAGCCCCCACCCTCGAACCGCTCCCGCAGCCAGTCCTCCGGGCCTTCGCCCCATTTTGTGCGGCCCAGCGTCTCCCGGAGCCAGTCCAGCGCCGCCTCAGCGAGCTTGAGGTGGCGGCCGTGCCCAGGGACCGCGACGCGGTAGCAGTCGGCGGCCGCCGCTGAGGACAGAAAGCCGCCACTGCCGCTGCCGCTGCCGCCGGCGTTGTGGAGCGCGTTCTGCCCCCCGACGGCCGACAGCGTGCCCGACGCCGACCTCGCCGCGTGCTGAATCGACGTCAGCGTCGTGCGGTCCTCGGGCCTCACATGCAGCGTCGTCCCCGGCGTCGCCCTCGTCGCGGCACTGGTGAGAAACCCCGCGCGCACCAGCTCGTCCGTCTGCGCATCCGTCAGCACGTCACTCCCCAGCGTCTGCGCCGTCGGATTGCGCTCAAGAAACGTCGTGTAAGCCTCCGTGGTGGCCACGGACACGGCGCGCGCAGCGTGCAGCAGCGCGACGAGCTGCGACGTCTCAACGAGGGCCTCGCCGCCGCCACCACGACGCTCGACACGCACGCGGCGCAAAACGCCCCGGCCCAGCAGCTCGGCGATCTCGCGCTCGACGCGCGTGGGGCCGTTCCCAGCGAGGATGGCGTGCACATGACCAGCGGTGACGAGCGGCGGCAAGGTGCACCTGTAATTCAGCAACTCAGTGCGGCGCGTGGAAGTGAAGCCGATCTCCGGCACCGGGGAAAACATGTGCGCGCGAATGTAACGCATGGCTTGGACAACGTCGCGCAGGGTGAGCTCCGTCGCGAGCAGCGTTGCGAGGCCGCCGGCGTCTTCCAGTTTCTCCGGGAAAAACTCGGCGTCGACGTCGTCTTGTCCTCCGCGTGGTCGCACAGAGGGCGTGCGTTGCTTGCGTGGCGAGGGTGACTGTGAATGTGCAGTAGACTGCGAAGCGGCGGCGCTGTTGTTGCTGCCTGGTCGAGAGGCGGCCGACGGCCGCGAGGCCTTTCTGACACGGTTCCCGCCGCCGAGTATTGAGCGTAGACTCTTCGACATGGTATAGCATATAAGGTTGCAACCTCGCTGTCCGCTGCCCACAGCTCGTCGAAATTCGTAGCCGTCGTCCGTCGTTTGAGCGAGAGGCACTAGTAGTGCCCAACGATGAGATGAGTGGCAAAACTGCTACAGTTGACAACGATGCCGCCCCTATCGACACAACTCTGGCGTGAATGAAAGCACCTGCGCAGAAAGAAGCTAAACGACGAATATATGCCAAAAAAAAGTGCAAGTTCAACCTCTCTATGAGTGCGCGGGATGTCGCAGCGGCAGACTTTGAGAGCAACAGCGTCCGCTTACTAATAATAGTTAGCCTACATGTACCTGTCCCAGTTTGAGTTGCGCTCACTGCACCAACAACGGGCTCGCTTCTCTCCACCGAAGCCAACACCCTATTTCCTCGTCACATTGCGATAGGCTGCTCATCTTTTGACTGCTCAAACAAGGCACTTCTCTTCACTCGCTGTGGAGGGGCACGAGTACTTTGTTTTCTGAGAATGAGGATGAACAGGAACGGCGAGCGTGGGAACGGAAATACGGTGGCGAGGTGCTTTTGGAAGATTAAGTGAAGTGTAAATGTTCAAATTAGCAAAAGATTGCAATGCTATGATTCCGTGCCCCATGGCAAATATGATGTTGTTTACACACAACCAAGAAGTCAATCTCGCTTCCGAGCCCCCTCTACCTCCTTCTCTGTTAACCAGCCGTCGTCAAAATATACGACGTAATCGAAGTCATACGCTCAGTCGTTAGTTTGAGCGAAATGCGCAGCAGCTCACCCGCAATATCCGGCCTCTCCTTCTGCAGCTGCTCCCACGCCTCGCGGCTCATCAGCCACGCGACGCAGTCCCGCTCAACCGTCACCGTGGCGGTGCGGTTCGTCTCTGAGAAGAACGGGAGTTCGCCGCACGTCGTGCCGGCGACAATGTTCTCGCACAGCCAGCCCTGCGGCAAATCGTACTCGGCCCGCAGGATGCCCTTTTCCAGCAAGTAAAAGCCCGTCGCGGCCTCGCCCCGACGAAACAGCGTGGTGCCGGCCATGTATTCCTTGCGCTCGAAGAACGACGTGGCGGGGAACCAGAAATCCTCATTCTTGTCGCTAAGGCCCTGGAAGATTTGCAGCATGATGCGCAGAGGTTCGTTAAAGCTCTGCCACTTTATTGGGCCCTGTGTCTCGGCGGTGCTGAGTGCTTGGTGCGCGGCTTCGACCAAATGGGTCTGGCGGGGGGAGTTGAATGGCGCATCAAACGATGACAACTGGGACTTTGATCCAGTTGGGACATCGAGGTTCGCTGTAGGCATGCGCTCGTTCGAGTTGAGGGCTTGCTGTCTGGCGTACAGAGTCTTGAGCAATTCATTTTCGCAAAACTCCAGCGCCGAGTTGAGGTCTGGGAGCATCATAACTTCAATCTTACCACTGCCAATGCCAACAGCGCGAAGATTTCGGCCGAGCTGAGAGGAAGCGTCTACTCCACTGAGGATAAGTGAAACACGCCTCTTGTCCAACAGTCTTGTAATTGTATTGAATGCTTCGCCCGCAGAATAGTCCAGGTCGCTGACGTGCCACATATCCAGGATCAAGAACTTGATAGGCCGGCTTCCAAAGGTAGCGTCATCGAGGAGACCCCTGATCTTCTCCTCAACACTCACAATAGTGCCAAAGAATAGGTACCCCGTCAATTTGATAATGTAGGTCTGCTGACCGACATGGTTGAGATAGTGATGCTGCGAGGGGTTGCGTCGTACAGTCGATGAGACGACATCGCCGTCGAATGTAGCACGGATAGCGGACACTCTGGACGTTTGAATGACAAGCGACGCAAATGCAAGGACAATGCCTACGCCAATGCCCACGACGAAATCGTAGATGCCCATGACCAAAACAATCACAATGACAGTAAGATACTCTGCAAGCTTCAACTTTTTGCGAGGGAGCCACACTGCTTCCAGCAACAGCTCAAAGCCTAGGTCAAAGATGAGAGTGCCAACCATCATAACAGGGATGTAGCCCATCATGCTAGGGCCGATTATCATGACAGCAAGTGTCAGTGCTGCCAGCATGTAGCCGGCAAGACGACGATTGCCGCCGGATCGAATCACGAACACAGTATTCGCGTAGACCAGGTAGTTTTGGATGCTTCCCATGCAACCAGAAATGAAGTTTGAGTAGCCGTGTAACTTCAATTCTCTGTCCAGATCGGCATTGTCCTCGCCGGTATTTAGCGCCAAAGCAGGCACGTTGATGGGGACGTGTAGAATGCCAAAAAAGGTCAATGCAAGCATCGCGGGGATTACCTCGATAATGGCATCCCAGTGAACAAGATCGAATCCTGATCGCCGTTAGTCATAGTCACATATGAGCAGGCAATGAGCAACTCACGATAGAGAGTGTAAAAGTACCACCATGGCTCCCCCGCTGGTGGTCCTCGGAAGATCCAGCCCTTATCGCGAAGGTCATCCGCGTTAAGGGCGTCAATGGCTGCGACAAAGATGTAGAAGACTAGAGGAATAGCGAGGATGAACAACGGCAGAAAATACTTTGAAGCACCTCTCGTTTGGCCGTAAAATAGGATGATGGCGAGAACAAGCGGAAATATCCAAAGGAGTATCGTCTCTGGTTGCGTAAGCTGTTTAAAGGTGTCAAGATTGTACTCAATGGTTCCATCAAGACGCGCCGACACTTCAAGACCGGTAGTAATGAGGAAATAGCCGACACCGCCAATGCAGCCAATCAAGATGTGGCGGGGGATGAAACCAACCATGAAGCCGAATTTGAACTTGCCCATGAGATAAAACACGAGACCTGTCACCATGGAACTTATTGCGTAAGAAACAATTGTTGTCGCAATAACAGCATCTGGGTTATCCTCGCCGACAGTGTCAAGAATCTTCTTAGCCATGTTGTGAAAGAAAGGAACAACCTCGATCAGCTCCGATCCGACTGCCCCCTTGAAGATGCTACCAGTGGAAAAGACCAACTGAGAGATTATGGTGCTCACGTAATAGATGGAAATACCGGCAGATCCCAGATGAGAGAACAGAGGTGTGCCGAGGGGGAAAAGAATCATGCCATATGACAGAGCATCAAGTATGTTCAGAAGAAGACCAACGGCGACAGCAGGTAGGCAAGACAGCGGGTCCAGGAAAGCGTGATGCGCCAGGGCTCTGCAATCCCATCTCTTAGGGTTCGTTGCGACTTTGACACCTTGAATTAAGGTAGATTTGACCTCATAAGTCTGTTCGCGAACTTTGCCAAACCACTTGCGCTTCGGTAAGCGCTGCTGGCCCTCGAGGATGGCCTCTGCTTCATAGCTAGATTCGGAAGAAGCAGAAAGCAATGGGGTATATTCAGTCGCGGGCTCCGCGATTGAAGGGACGTTAGTCGAAGTCCTTGAAGCCCCAGCAGCTCCAGTGCTACTAGCAGCACGAAGTGTCTCGGAAGCGATGGACTTGGAGCGATCAGCCTTGGGTGTTGTCTTAGGTTCTGTCTCTGGTGGAGATGCGCGCTTCAGAAGGTTGGCCAGTACGGAAGGCCCAGCGACATCCTCATCGTCCAGCTGCTCGGTGCATTCGTCCGGTGAGGCGGGCTCAGAGACTTCTGGGATAGCGGGAGAGCCACGCCGGACGACGGGAACAGGATCACTGTCATCTTCCGGGTTGAAAACATCGTGAATAGAGGATCGCGGGCGTTGAAGCAAGGCGCGGGCACGTTGGGAGCCATCGGAGAGAAAGTAACTGGCTAATTCGGCAGTATCTTCACGAACTGTACGTGCATTCTGGAGGCTGTCGACTGGAGCTACGTCGCGTTAGTATGTGGCTCCGTGACACGGTAAGGGTTTTTGTTTAGCTGCAAGAAAGCAGAGAGTACCACATACCCAAGTGCTCATGAGATACGCCGTGAATGAAAGACCGAATAGGCTCTCGGTGCGCCTGACTGGAGGCAACCGAGGAAGAGAGCGCAGGCGGCACGGCCACGGGCTGGGAGCTCGACTGGGACTCATTGGTAGCGGTGCGAGCCAGATCTGTATGCGACGACGATACGCTAGACGCCCTCTTCCTCCAGGAAGAAAATCCTGAGCCCGAATTGGACATTTCGAGAGGGCGTTGGCGCGTTGGCGCAGCTCAGGCCTGAGAAGTAGAGGATCGACGATGGCACTATCGCTGAGCGAGCGCATGTGGCGGATGGCAACAAGCGGCAGTATGTGAGAGGCGGCGGACGAAAGGCAAGTGCTAATTAATTAAAACAGTTGCCATGCTTGGAGAGTAAGGGTTACCATGACCAAGGAAAAGAATAAGAAAAGATGCCGATGGAGGACGCCGTTTGTTGGCTCCTGCAGGGTGCAAACGGAAGGTTTTCTTGGAGCTTGTCCAAGGCCTTGCCCGGTTCTATGACTTCTCCAATCTCCCAGTGGAACTAGCGCTGAGCCAGGGCGGGGAGCAGGCGTCGCTTGGCGGGAGCTGAAAGATAAGGAAGTCAACAGCGTTTTGGGGGGCTGTGGGAGGCGTCTACGAGATATACTTCGTACAAGATGGAGAAACCGGCCGAGTGGCACCTTTATTGCTTTTGCCAGAATAATTATAGAAAAACGTTGAATTGACGTTGTAGTAATACGTTCTATCGTCCCTGCAGCCACCAGAATGATGGGATTGGGCAGTGGAGTTTTTGGGCCAAATGCCCGCTGGCTGATTGGCGTCTTTTCCGCTAAAAAGCACAACGAGGCCGCTATCGGTTTTTGCTGCAGGTTGCATGAGACATCTCCACTACAGCCCAGTGGCCGGATGCATACAATTAATTCATATCTATTGCCGGAGAGCGAGCCATTGTCTGTACTCGAAAAGGTTCTCACCATGACCAGTCTCATGGCAATTACAGTTTGTGGTTGTGATAGGTAGTCTACTATCAGTAGCCAACTATTGCCAGACAGCGTAAATCTCTCGGCAGTCTCCATCAACTTGCACTGATTGTGCTTATTAGGTTCAGCCACGCGTCTCATGCGCGGATTGTGCGGTCATCGTATCGGCTGGCAGCAGGTTTTACGAACCATCTTCGCGGGTGCTCGACATGCTCTGGTGGCGCAATAGTGATCACACAATCAATGGCCAGAATTCTCTGCAATCGCTCATGAGACACTACTGGTAATGCCGTCTCATATTCCACCCCACAGCCGAAACAAGATTATTGAATGAGAGACATCACATTGTGACGAAGTAGACTGTCTATATCAGGTCGGACGCCGCAGTCTGTTCAACTAATGACGAAGAAAGGAAGCAGGTGTTGTCATTCTAGCGGCAATTGAATCGCAACAATGCATGAGACTCGTCACGTCAAGTACTAATATAGGCAGCCTCAGTACATTCTATCCCCACGAAGAATGTACTGGCGTGGAATAGTCAATTAATCATCCTTTGAAGCGCAGCATCACTTGCCGGTTTGCACAACGTACAATCGCTTGTCGCATGATGCATGATCACGGCTCGACTCGACCACTTGCATACCAAATCTGTTATAGTCTTTCAAAATTCAAAACAACTCCGAACCATGGTATATAAAGTTAAATTGTAATGGAGCTCGCTTCTCGTTCCTTGTCCAACCAGTGTCACCTCAATCGAGCTTTTGTAAATAGCCCTGCGCGATCAGTCTCTCCACGTCGCCCTGCCGGACGTAAAATTGACTGTTCTTGGTCAAATTGATTGCACTACGCCCATAGTCAGCCCATAGTCAACCGACTTACACACCGGCTCAAGTCTCACAAAGCCAAACTTACCCATACTCTGTCTGTATCTCGCCCGCGTCCTTGAGAACACGCACGTCGATGAACAGGTCCCGCGGCGGCTGCAAGCTCCCCGTGAGATCAACATCCGTCCACTGACCCTTGTACGCCGCCAGCAGATCGCTGTACTGCCGCACGTAGTCCTCCTCCTGAGGGCTTAGGCTGCTCGTCGACCCCCCCTCGCCCGCCGCCACCGGCAGGCCGCCGCCGCCGCCGGGGTCGCGCACCTGCTGGCCCGAAAGGTCCGCCACGTCGGAGCCGTCCCAGACTAGCTCCTCCAGCTTGTCCGTCCGCGTTCGGTGGTACGCCAGTAGGCACCGCTTGTTGCGCCGCATCGACAGGTGATTCACTAGCAGCGTGCACGCTACCGCCTGATCCGCCGCCGGGTCAAATGAGCCTCGAAACGGCTCCAGCAGGTCTGCCACGTCCTTTTCCAGATCGCGCACCTCGCGTGTCACGGCGCGCACAATCTCGGTCTGGTACGGGGGCAGGTGCGCCAGGTTTTGTGTCCGCTTCGCATGCTGGGCCTACATGTTGCGCGCAGGGTATCAGTTTCTATTACAGGCTAAAGATCCATGTTTAGTTTGCAGTCTGCAACTTACCAGTTTGACTCCCAGATCACCGTACATTGTTGCGCAATGTCATATATCTAATCATGACAGATTGATGGAACGGCCAAGTAGGTTGCAGCTTTGGAGTGGACGCGCTTGGCTGACAGTGGCACGCGTCTGCCAATCAATTTTCTACCCCGCCACCTTGACAACTGCCTCGAGCTATCCATGACCCCGCCATTGATATGCACAACAACGTTAGTACCTCAGACAATTATTGCGCCCAATCACGACAAACACAGGTCTCGCGGCGACATCACCAGCAAAATTAGTCCGTAAGATTGCAGTTCAAATTTTTTTGTGCAGTCTATAATAAATGTAATGGTTTTGATTTTGATTTCTTATGTCATAGCCGGACCCCGTATCCATAGCCCAAATCATTAGGCATCAATTCATCGGAGTCATCATATCCCACCCATCGTTCCTCATTACATCTGTACCTGCAGACAAGAATCTAACAGTTCGGAAGCTTACAGCTTCTGCATAGCAGCAATGTCCGAGGACTGGACGTAGTCCTCAAAATCCTGGATCTGCTCCTGGAGCTCGTCCAGGGAGACCTTCTCGTCCTCGACGACAAGGTTGATCTGAAGCTTCTTGATACCGAAACCAACGGGAACAAGCTTAGAAGCACCCCAGACCAGACCATCCTTCTCAATGGCACGGACAGCAGCCTCAAGAGCAACCATATCGGTCTCATCGTCTAATGGCAGAGTTAGCACTCGGTTCACAATACCCAGTACAGCAATGCTGGTTCAACTTACCCCAGGGCTTCACGTCCATGGTGACGACAGACTTGGCAATAGTCTTGGGCTTGGCAGACTTCTTCTCGCGGTAGGCAGCGAGACGCTCCTCACGGATTCTGACAGCCTCGGCATCCTCCTCCTCATCATCAGAGCCAAACAGGTCGACATCGTCGTCGTCCTCAGCATCAGCACCCTTGGCAGGGTTGATGGTGAGGTCGCCAGACTCGGGGCCGTAGGCAGAGTAGGCCTTGGAGGGGTCACCAGGAAGAGTGGCGAACTCGCTCTCGTGGCTGGCAATGTGCTTGTACCATCTGGCGGCGTTCGGGTACTTATCGGCGGCAGGGGCGGTGCTGAAGGCCTTGAAGACGGCAACATCAGCCTGCGAGGGACCGTAGCTGTCCAGACTGTCAGTATGCTCTGCCTGAGGCTTCTGGCGGGGTACCACAAAGCAATGGGTTAAGCAAGGCATTTGTTCAGAGATGCATTTCTGCTTGTTGTTTCGTCTGTCGGCGGGTCTTGAGTCCGCCTCCGAAACACGGACCAATTGTTCTCATCATATAAAAATGCGTAGGATATTGGAATGCGAAGCAAGGCCAAAAAGCCGGAAAAATAACTTACCCTACGATGTAGGAGCGGGTAGCAACCCAGTTGTTGAGCACTGGCAAGCATGGTCAGTGGCTGTGGCGGTGTGAATAGACGCTGAGCACTGCAAGGGACATACTGGTAGCTCCAGCATCGGTGAGGAGATCAGCGAAACCCATTTTGACTATGAAGAGGAGTACGTCGAGACGAAAATTTGTGAGAGAGGTGAGGAGAAGAAATAGGAGGAGATGGTTGTCTGGTCGATGTGGTAGGTGGGGTTGAGGATTTTTTTTAACCAAATTACGGCGAGGGGCCACTTGTGGCTTGACGTGGGACATGGAGGCTACAACAGCTTGGCTTGGTCGGGATAAATATCGGCCCGCGGCAGAACTACCCGAAGCTTGTGGCTAACGTTAGGATGCTTGCACGCTTGTAAGCTTGCTGGAGGGTCGCAAGTAATATGGTGCTAGCAACTGGAGAGCTCCATCTACGTAAGAGCAGCTGGAGCCTACTGTTCAGCGCCACCACATACCAACAACTTCAACCGCCATCCTTCATCGACGCCGCCAAGAACCTACCTCTGCGAATCTCCCTTCACAAATTATCACAATCATGCCTACACCACTCATCAACTTCAAGGCGGGTCGGTGCGAAGTCGACGTATGTTTTAACGCCGCGACAGTTCCAATTGTTTGATTGCTAACGACAGCCGTTTTAGACCAGCTCTGGCCGTCCGTACAAGGTGAAGCCCCAGCCCGAGCCTGGCTACATATCTCTTTATTATGAGGATGGTAAGCTCAACGAGTCTTGAGTTTGATGTACGCGCTCTCTGACCCGGGTCACAGATCTCATTAAATTCGTCTGGCGAAAGCGCGACCAGGATCTCGACGAACCTGAACTCGACCTTGTAATGGTCCCCGCGGACGGCACATTTGCCCCATACGAGTATAAAACAACCCCTCAGCCGACATCAAAGACAAATGGTCGCATATTCGTACTCAAATTCGCGTCATCCTCACAGCGCTACCTCTTCTGGCTTCAGTCAAAACACCAGGGCACCGACGCCAGCTACCTGAGCCCTCGTGACCTCGCGCTTGGCTCGCTTGTGGACCGTATTCTGCAAGGCGAAGAGCTCTCGGTCAATGCGGAAATCAACGCTATCCGTGACCTCGATAACGGGCCCGACGATGATGACGACGAAACCATGGAAGACGCCGAAGGCCAGGACACAGGATCCCGTCAACGTCACGGCAGTGGCGGGGCCGGTGCCGGTGCCACAGGAGGGGATGTCAGAGAAGAGGGTGAGCAATCGCGAGAAGGCGGTTCTGATGGTGCGAGAGCGTAGGTATACCCACTTCATCTCCATGTTGCCCGTTTGTGCCAGAAGTGACATCACTTGGCCACGATGTAATAATAGATTCTTTTTTCCTTTGGGTTAAAGATAAAATGCAATTGGCGTGAAATGCTATAAAATTTGCCACGCCTCAGGAACTTTCGCTGACGTTTTACTGCCAGAGCCTCAAATGATGCAACAGATGCGAGCGCCGCCGTTCAGAGATTCTTAAGCTCCATCTCAGGAGCCAACCTACCAAGCGGTGCAGGTCAGAGACAGCACGCCGATCTGCCATACCCCTATCTCAATCATCTCCTACCTACGTCAATCACCGTTCCCATGGTAAACGAAGCATCGGAAGATTTGATCAATTCACTGCTCAACTATCTGCCTCCCTCAATCATTCTCATGGCTGCGGATGCTTCAAGTAACGAGAACAGCACAATAGAGCCCAAGCCAGCAGTTGTTGAGGCGGCAAAGGCGGCGCTATCTATGTCCCAGAAGCGAGCATTAATTACAAGGGTGCTACGCAGCCCCCAGTTTCACCAGGCCCTTGGCACGCTGACGATGGCCTTGCGAGACGGTGGATTGCCCACCATTGCTGAAGCTCTTGGGGTCAATCTTGAGAATGGTGGCTACATTCAGCAGGGCGGAATGCCGTTGGGTGGTGGTTACGCAGTCAAGGCCTTTGTCGACGGTATCGTCAAGTCAGCCAAAGAACAGCAGTAATGAGAACAGGTTTTAACTTGGAAACAGCAAGGCTGCGTAGCTATGATAACCGCTCCTATTAGAACTAGATTATGTAAAAACTGGATATGAAATTTCAAGTCGAATTTGAAAAGCACAGGCGTGTAAATACCGTCGCACATGGCCATTTGCCCGGAGCTAGTTAGGTGTTTCCAGATGCTTGTTTGAAGTAGCAGCCCCACGCATTCCACCGGCCCTCACTCTGAGATCTGCGACCTGCGCCGGAAGCTTTCTTCAACAACACAGTGACAAATTCCGAGCATAACTTGGGCGCGCAATTGCAAGTCAAAATTCCGCAGTCATGGATGCACCTTTTCCTACCGACGTGCAGGAATTCGACAGCGATGACCGCATCTCTTTCTCGAAGCTCGACAGCAAATTCATAGCTGTCCGAGACGATGGCGCCGAATTCGAATTTGACGCCGAGCGCCGTGCATGGCAGCCATTAGATGAGCAAACACTAGACGAAACCGATATAAATCAAGATACACCGCAAAAGCGCGAAGGAGCTGGAGCTAGAAAGCGAGGGCATGATGACGAAGACAATGGATCCGAGGTAAGAAGGAAGAGTCTTGCACAGCACTGTCAACGTCTTCCTGAAGCGTAACATTGGCGCGCAAAGGTACTGACTACGGACGTGAAATTACAGGACTCGAAAAAGCTGAAGCGCCCGCCCAAGAAGCCCAAGGCGGCGCCGCAGCCGAAACAAAACACGGCCGTTTACGTCACCGGCTTGCCCCCCGACGCGACAGTTGATGAAGTCCACGAGCTCTTCTCGCGCAAGGGCGGCGTCATTGCCGAGGAAATAGACAGCGGCGCCCCGAGAATCAAAATGTACAACGACGCAGACGGCACCTTCAAGGGCGATGCGCTCATTGTGTTTTTCAAGCCTCAAAGCGTGGAGATGGCTATTATGCTACTCGACGATACCGACTTTAGAATAACAGCCAACGGCACACGCCAAGGGCGAATCCGGGTCCAAGAAGCAGACTCGAGCTACAAAAAAGTGCAGTACGACCAAGATGGCCAGAACAAAGGCAAGAGTGCCAACCACTCTGCGAAGAGCGACAACGGCAATGGCGAGCGCCGTCCGCCGACCAAGGACCGGCAAAAAATTATCAAAAAGACGCAAAAGATGGACGCTAAGCTGGCGGATTGGAGCGACGACGACGGGCCCGCGATTGCGCTTGCCAACTCGAAAAAGGACAAGACGGTGGTGCTGCAGCACATGTTTACGCTGCAGGAGCTCGTCGACGATCCGGCGGCGCTGCTTGAGATTAAAGAGGATATACGAGAGGAGTGCTCGAAGCTTGGGACGGTGACGAGCGTTGTTCTGTACGACGAGGAGGAAGACGGCATTGTGACGGTCAGGTTCAAGGAGGCAGAGTCGGCTCTGGCATGCATCAAACTCATGCACGGGAGGAGTTTTGGCGGGATGAGGGTGGAGGCTGCGCTGGCAACGGGGAAAGAGGGCTTTAAAAAGTCCAAGGCGAATAACGATGATTTCTCTGATTAGATTCCAGGCAGACGGCGTTCCCCTATGTACAATATTTGTTCTTGTTAGATTCGAATCTCATTGACAGAGAACGACATGTTTCCGATTCAACAGGTGTCAATTCTGACTGGTTTGCTTTTCCATCATTGTTATACTATCGTGTTGGGGTATGTATGGACAGCCCGACGGGTGTCTTCGGAGAGAACTCGTGTTGCCAAAATCTATTGACTTGGAAGGACGTGGTTTCTCGCCAAAGAAAATCGGGGTGCAGGGACAGCTAGAAGTGTGGTGCTAATAGGTAGGTAGGCAGGGTTGAAGAACTCATCGCTGTCTGTTCTGCAATGACCACATCAGCCGTGTTTTCACACAACACATGGCCTGAAGTCGAGCGGAAATACACTGTTCCTAACTGTTAAACATGAATGATATCATCCACAGAGGTCAAGGACAGTGGCTTGCTGTTGCGCATGATTCGAAATGCGACGAGCCACTGCACTGTGTTGATTGATTGTGACGGCGGCCACATCCTTCGTACTCATGTTCTGCCATGTTTTATGAAAAATATGGCAAAATTCGATATCTAAGACGGATACCTCTGCATATACCTCTCTTCACAAAGTCTTGGCCAAAAATGCGCGCCCGATGTTGTATTTCGACATGACGTGCATCCTGGCCGCCAGAGCGTTGCCATGCCAACCATGTCCCGCGCCTAATGAGTCGATGATCAAGGAGCAGACATGAGGCGGAGTATCCATTGCCCTATTAAGCCCATCTAGCAAGACGTTTTCTTAATTCTTTCGGATCTTTTGCATTCCAGTCACCTACTAAAAAAAGCACATAGCTAGTCGGCCGACTTGTTTTCCAGTTGAAGAACTGGTTTGGCGCTACGTATTCATTGTTTAGTGCGGCTCAAACAGCCCAAGACATCGGAGGAAGTGGGCATTCGATTATTCAGAAATCTGTCGTTGGGTAAGGAAGCAGCCTGCTTTTAGTGTTCACTTAAACATTGATCTTATTGAATGCACTTCTGACATTGGAAACCGTTCAGGGTAGCCAGACGAGAGAACAGAAAGCATGGGACTGCTATCAGATGCGCTGCGACCGCGGCAGCAACAACAACAATTGCCAGTGTACCAACCGCCCGGCTCCCCGTCGAAAGAACGCTTCTCCGACGACGAAGATGACTACTACTACTCCGACGAAGATGACAGCCCTTCGTCGTCGTCACGGCCGAGCCACTCCGGCTACAGCTCGCGGAGCGTCTCAGACACAATGGGCAGCAGTGGCGGCGCCGCGCTGCTCTTGCCGAAGAGGCCCAAGAACACGTCATTCACTGGATATTTCAGCAGATTCCGCTTTCGGCTGCCGACAAAAGTGACGCGCTATGTGCTGCTCGTAGTCATGGGCACCACGCTGCTCTTCATCTTCTCGTTGGTACGGGCCAGCCAGGTGGAGAACTGGAAAGTCGTTAACGGCGAAGTCCCGACACGGCCAGCACCTCCGCCGGCGTGGGAGAAGTTTCCTTTCTTGGAGCGGTACTATGGCGGGATCAGGACGTTGATGCCGCTCAACGAAAGCGAGCCAGAGTACCCTCGCGAGAACGAACCTGTTTCTCTGGGTGGCCCCGGTTCTGGAGAGGAAGTCGATGAGAATGAGGGAAGATCCGAGACAAAGCCCGATGAGAGGGTAGAGACGATCGATAAGAAGGCGGTGCCTCCGAGCTCGGCTTGGAGCAACTATCGCCATCGGTCGGTAGAGGCCAATGTAAAGGAGTGCTTCATTGATACAGCGAATCAGATTCGGGTTCCCGAGCTCCGTTACTACACCGGTCGACCCCATGGCTTCCCAAATCACATTGGCGGCTCTTACGAGTTACTTAACCTGCCAGAAGACATTTGCTTTGAGCGATATGGCCGCTATGGTCCCTATGGCTTTGGCTACTCCTCTCGTATGGGTGGTCTCGGTACCGGCGAGCATAGCGAAAATGAAGGAGCCGAGCTCGTCTGGGATAGCAGACCGCATGTTAACTTCGGAGAGGTGGATTGGGCAGATGCCCAGCGTCGCTGCTTGCAACTCAACGCTCACAGATTCAAGGCAGTACCGACAAGAAAGGCCGGTCCTCAGGGTTTCATCAATGCCGTGCCCGAGACTGATAATAAGCAAAAGCGTGAAGAGACTGCGGCTGACGCGCCGCCTTCATCTGTAAAGGAGGACGGTAAGGCAACGGCTGAAGCTACTGAGACTGCGAGCAGTGGCGGTCTTACGAAGACGGGACGAACCGCTATTGTCTTCCGCTGCTGGGACGAATTCTTCTTCCGCGAGGACGACATTGCCAACCTGAGATCCATGATTATCGAGCTCTCTCTCGGCTCTGGCGGTAGATACGACGTGCACCTCCTGGTTCAGGTCAGGAATGATGCTGCCCACCCCGTCTGGGCGGACCAAGAAGTCTACGAGAAGCGAATCCGTGATGTCATTCCCAAAGAGTTCCAGGGCCTTGTTACGTTATGGACTGAAACACAAATGCTCTCACTCTACCAGGGCATTCACGACAAGTGGACGGTCGGACCCGACCACTCGGTCCACGGCTCCTACCGCGGACTTGTCATGGCCATGCAGCACTTTGCCTACCTGCACCCCGAGTATGACCACTTTTGGCACTGGGAGATGGATGTTCGCTACACCGGCCACTACTACGACCTGCTGACCAAGATTGAGTCGTGGGCCAAGGAGCAGCCGCGAAAAGGTCTTTGGGAGCGCAACGCACGATTCTACGTTCCCGCGACGCACGGCTCGTGGGACGATTTCAAGCACCTCGCGCGCGTGCAGACCGAGACAGGTACGCTCTCGGCGGATAATGTCTGGAGTAACCTGCCCAACCTGGACGAGGACGAGCCGCAGCGGGCCCGCAAAGGCGACCGGTCCGTCTGGGGCCCGGTGCGGCCCGCCGACGAGAACGACTGGTTCGAGTACGACGACGACCCGGTGCCGCCGACGACGTACGAGAGCGACAAGTACCAATGGGGCGTCGGCGAGGAGGCCGACTACATTACGCTCAACCCCATATTCAACCCCGAGGGCACGACGTGGGGCCTGCGCGACGACATTACCGGCTTCAACGAGTCACAGTCGCCGCCGCCGCGCCGCGCGAGCATCATTACGACGTCGCGCATGAGCCGCCGGCTGCTGCTGTCAATGCACCGCGCGACGACGCTTAAAAAACAGTTTGCCTTTGCCGAGATGTGGCCGGCGACGACGGCGCTGCACCACGGATACAAGGCCGTCTTCGCGCCGCATCCGCTCTTTGTAGACCGCCGCTGGCCCGTCGAGTACCTGGCCGGCACGCTCAACGCGGGCCGCAACGGCGCCGCGGGCGGCGCCCGCGCCAGCGTCTACGGCGCGCGCGAGCACAACCTCCGCGGTCTCTCGTGGTTCTACAACACGGGCTTCGCGCCCAACCTGTACCGTCGCTGGCTCGGCCTCCGCGTCAACAATGACGGCGGCGACGCGTTTGAGAAGACGGAGGACAAGAGCAGGCTGGGTACCGGCGCCGGCGTCGGCGGCATGCCGGGTGGAGAGGGGCGCATGTGCCTCCCGCCGATGCTGCTGCACCCGATCAAGGAGGTTGAGCTCGCGGTCGAGGCGCCCCCAGAAGAAGGCGAGAAGGCGCCAGAGTCGGATCCTACAGCGTAAGGAAGCCAAGAAGGAATCCGAAGATACCCCTCTTCTAGTCTGTTTACTTCTTTCCTTGGATTTCTTTGCCATGTCTAGCGCATATTCTGTTCCTGCTTGTACATGGTGTACATGTTTACTGATGCGAAGAATGTTTATAATGTCGAATTTTTGTGACTGTCCTTCGAGAAAGCTTCGGGCATGATGATGAATAAAAAACACATGTTGTACGACATCTGTGCATCAAAAAAGTAATGCGCCGAGATAGAAATGTAATGATTCTGCCTCTTGTTCAAACAAGTAATTCGTACATTTGATTTCAATCTTCCTCGCATAGCCTGCAAGTACAAAGGCCTGCCCAAAATCCTCAATGCTTCCTCTAACATAATTTTTCCATCCCATCATTGTCCCTTCGTTGATACGCCTGCTATGTTCAATTTTCCTCGCAACAAGCTGTAGCAGCAGATTGCGGGTAATTAATAAAAAGAGCTGATTCCGCATAGCTTACAGCTTATATGCTCCTTGAATCTGATCCTCCTCAGTTCGAAGAGCTTCTTTTTGATCGTGTTTGCTGACAGGCTGAAAAAAAAAACGTGAATGTTCCCTTTTTTTCTGGTTTCTACAAAAATCCCCTTCTACCCGCTCATCATCCATGACATTTTAGTGTAAAAAGTTTAAACCACACGCTTCACTTCAAAGAAGCGGCGGAGCCACCAGACCTGGAAGAGAGACTCGCCAATAACGACGCCAATGACGAAGAGGTTCCACCACTTGACGCGGCCGTTTGTGCTCTCGGCGGTGTTGCGGTGAGTGCGTTCTCGAAGAACAATATACTGCTGCTCGTCCTTGACCTCGGCAAGGAGGTTGGAGAGGCGCGTGACTGCAATATTGTTGTTAGGAAAAGACGTGGGATGGTGACGGGACGAGTCGCAATCCACGCATACCTTCGGCTTCCAGAGGATCAGACTGATACTCGGACTCGCTGACGTAGACAACGCCGTGAACGTTGAAGGAGACCTCCTTGCTGTTGGCGCCCCAGTGCTGGTTGCCAAAGCAGTAGGTGTATTTGCCGTCGTACTTTGCGTCGAAGCTGTGGTCGCCGTTGGAGACGGACTTTTCGTTGATTTCGTATTGGCCAACGGGGTTGGTGATCTGCGGGGGTAAGTGATTAGTTGTGACTCGAGTCGTTGGCATGAGAGGTGTAGAATGGCAGCTGCCTGGCAATTGAGAGATTCCAAAAAGTGACCGTCAAGAACACATGGACGACTCCTTCAAAACGGATGTGGGCAATTGCTGGCCAGGCAGACACGGTTCACGTTGCTAGGGGTGAGCGTACCCAAAAGTCGATATCGAGGTTGCCTGCGCTACCAAACTCGCGGTCGCCGACCTGGTAGGTAACGCTCATCTTGTCATCCTTGTGGAGGCTCTCGTAGAAGCACTCGAGACCGTGGGCCGGCAGGACAATGTTGTGCGCCGAGGCGGTTGAGGCGGCGACGGCCGCGACGAGGAAAGCCCTCGTGGCGGAGAGGAAATGCATAATCGAGGAGAATCGTGACTAAATGATAGAAAAAGAAAAGGAAAAAGACAGAGAAGAGAAGCGATGCGCGCGCGCGGAATGGAATGAAGATTGGGCTTGAGAAAGGGAAGCTCTGGCTCCTGGATCCAGACGTGGATCCACATATCGCGAATTGACACCTTTTTGCAAGACCAGCTTGAGCCATTGCAGTTGAGCCACTGTGGCGCCACAGCAACAGTGCAAAAACGGAGGCAAGTGGCTCAACAGTCCATCAGGAGTTTAAGCGGGCGGTCGCCGGGAAGCGCCCCAGTTCTGCCAGGGGCACGGTGGCGGTACTGGAGCAGTACATGCCGGAGGCCTATTTTGGTGCAACCGCTGGTGCAGTCGCGTGCTCAGCGCAAGTCGCGGTGGAGTACAGTGGCGAGAGAACAAGTTTTTCCTATCTGCCTGCCGACCCCCTATTTTATGTCCAGCGCCCACTTTCGCTTGGGTTTAGGCGTCTGTCTGATGGTCTGGAGGGGGAAAACCAACCGCTAGAACATACGGAAGATTCAGGGGGGCACGATAGCCTGTAAGATTTGCGCGTTACGGGTGCTTACAGGGGCTCGTTGAGTTGTCTGATAGATCGTAGGGAGGGTTCCTGTCAGGCTGTCATTGATGGTCAGTGAAGGAAGGGGTGGCTGACAGCTTGTGCCATCCTTTTGTCGCCTTTACTTTTTTGCCCGAACAGGCTATCTGGCACTCCATCCTGCTGCTCTGCTCTACCTACACCGACAAAGCCTCCCAAGCACCCCCCAAAAACATTAAACCCACCACCATCCAACATCATTTCTGTTGTTTCTGTGTTTTGCCTCTTCTAACACCCCGGCTTCCCACGACGAACATTGACGCAAGAGTGAGTTAGCCCGCCGTCCTTCCTCATCCTCATACATCGCCCTGCCTGCATCTATCGCTTTATCCTGTTGTCGTTCCTGCTTGTCACTTGAGGTTGCCTTCCGCTCTCTCGCCTGGTCTTTGCTTGCGATGCTCCAGAATGCGGTCCTCCTGGCCCCCCACACAGCACTCAAACAGGACACCCTCGCACGCCGTTCCGTTCAGCAGCTGCCTGATCCAAGAGATGACTTTATTCTGCGGTCTGGACATTGGTCGAACCCGACTGCGCCGCCCGGCGGATTATTGGTCCCTGTGCGTGTGCTCGGGCGAGGTGGTGCGCGAGGCACATGTGTCCTCTGTGCTGCCGTTGGGATAAATGGTCCGGCATTGCGCTTCCACGACAGACTGCTGGTCAGCAAGTGAGAGCAGAGGCATCAATTCTGCACTCAATCATTTCCTATTCTTGACACAAATTTCCTTCAATTCTACTTGCTGTTCCCCTCCTATCGCGCATTGTCAACTCAGCTGGCGTCATTGCTTGATCGGAGAGCGGGCCTGAAAAACCCCTCCTTAGTTAAGCCATTCTCTGCCGCTAAACTAACCCGTGGCAACTAGGACACTTCTCTTTCTCTCCCTCGTCAAATCATCCCACCAAAGCCACAACTCAACTCACGTCCACCTTTCCCGCTGAAAGTGTTGTCGTAGGCTCCGTCGCCAAAGTCGCAATCATGGGTCTCGCTTTTTCCAAGTTGTTCGATAAGTTGTGGGGGAAGAAGGAGATGCGAATTCTCATGGTCGGTCTCGATGCCGCCGGTAAAACCACCATTCTCTACAAGCTCAAGCTTGGTGAGATTGTCACTACTATCCCTACCATCGGTACGCCCTCTCGATTTCCTCTGCCGAGCCGGCGCGCAATTTATCGTCAATAAAGCGCGCGCCTGCATCCTTCTCGGCCTCGGCTTCCCCTTCTCCACCACTAACCCGCCACCCCCTTAGGCTTCAACGTCGAGACCGTCGAGTACAAGAACATTCAGTTCACCGTCTGGGATGTCGGTGGTCAGGACAAGATCCGTCCCCTCTGGAGACACTACTTCCAGAACACCCAGGGTATCATCTTTGTCGTCGATAGCAACGATCGTGACCGTATCGTTGAGGCCCGCGAAGAGCTTCAGCGCATGCTCAACGAGGACGAGCTCCGCGACGCCATTCTCCTGGTCTTTGCCAACAAGCAGGATCTTCCCGTACGTCTTCTCCTACATCCTGCGCGCGCCTACGTGCCTTGCAGTAACTTCAAACTAACCCTTGCGCCTACAGAACGCCATGAACGCTGCCGAAATCACCGACAAGCTCGGCCTTCACAGCTTGAGACATCGCGGCTGGGTACGTGCATCTCTCTGCGCAATCATCGCTCTACCCGTCCTCACGTCATTCTTCTGCTAACCGGCATCGCAAAACAGTACATTCAGTCCACCTGCGCCACCTCTGGAGATGGCCTCTACGAGGGTCTCGAGTGGCTTGCCACCACCCTCCGCAAGGCTGGCCATCAGTAGAAGAACAATTGAGAAGCCTTCTGATCAGCCTTTCGCCTTCTCCATCCTACTACATTGTTTCGTACCCTCACGCATCGATTTCCATTTCAAAAATCGAAGGATTCGATTGTAATTTGCAAACTTGTATCGGTCAACAAAATCGAAATTAGTTCATAAACACTGTCGAATGTCTTTATTCGATGCACCCTCCACCTGCTTGTTCGCCCTGATCTCCTTTGGTGTGTGCCCTGAGCTCCGTGTAGCTAGAGCAGCCTTTTGCTTTTTCATTCTTCTCCTTCTCTCTACAATTGCATTCTTGTTTGGGGGAAATCACGCCTCTGTCGAATCTTGCGTTTTAGGGCGTACTCTTTTTTTTCGGCGTACAGACTAAAAAAGGGAGTCTTTGGATCGTCTTGACACCAATGGAAGGAAACATGGGCGGTCAGTTGATGGCAATCGAGGCATCGACTAAAACGGAAGCGATGGTACAAAAATGTATGGCTTGTCGGAGGAGGAGAGAGGCTCGATTAGGTTCTCGAAATGATTCAACGCGGGTGTCATGAAGTTCCGAACTTTTTAGATGCGGTGTTTGCTTTGGTCTGGTTCACTTTTTTCTGTTTTTAAACTTTTCTTTAGGCAGAAAGAAGGCAAAAAAAATTCAACCCAAAAGTTTCCTGTTCCAAGTTTTCTTCTTTATATTACCGCTGGTAGACCTTTCGAAACGAATTCTTCTCTCCTCAGCTGTACCGGGAGAGCAAAATGCGTCTGTAGATCCTAGTAAAGACGAATGAGAGAGGCAACACAAGACGAGCCCAAAGTTGCAAGCTAAGTCAGAGGGATTATTCACAACGAGCACAAAGGTTGCAACCATTGCCAAGACTATCAGGCAGCTGCACGTGAGCACCTGCTTCCAGTGGCCTGCTGGTATTAAGACCTGACAAGCTGTAGACCTGCCAAACTCGGACACTCACATGCTCAGGGTGATGGAAAAGTAACGTGTTTAGAGTGTTTTTGATTATGTGCATCATTCTATATCCTTGGGTATCAACGAAAAGAGGAGTGGTCTGGTACTAGTACAAGCAACCTCCCCTCGAAAACAAAAGCATTTCTCCTAATACAAAAGTCATAATTATACAAAGCAGTTACTCAAACAGTATTGTTCCAGCGTAATTCTGCGTGGTTGTCAGACTCAAGCAGACTCGGGCGCCGGCGCAGTTTCTGCCGGCGTCGTGTTTACCACTTCGAGGCCCGACCCGTCCTCCTTGATGCGCACCGTCGCCGTCTCGCCCATCTTGAGATTGCCACGGATAATCTGGTCCGCGAGGCCGTTGGCAATCTCGTTGGTGATGAGACGGTTGAGCGGGCGAGCGCCGTACTTGGGGTCGTAGCCGCGGTCCGCGAGCCAGTCCCTGACGTCCGAGCCGACGGCCAGGACGATGCGGCGGTCGTCGAGGCGCTGCTGCAGCTCCTTGAGACGGATGTCGACGATGTCGCGGATAGCACCGCGCGCGAGCCGCTTAAAGAGGATGAATGAGTCGATGCGGTTGAGGAACTCGGGCGGGTAGGCGTGGCCGACCACGTCCATGACGGCAGCGCGCACTGAGGGGTCCACCTCGCCGCTCGCATCCTCCTTGTACGGGTGCATGGGATCCTGGCCGACGAGGATGTCGGCGCCGAGGTTGGACGTGAGGACAATGATTGTGTTGCGGAAGTCGACCTTGTGGCCCTGCGCGTCCGTCAGGTAGCCTTCATCGAGGACCTGCAGGAGGAGGGCCGAAATGTCGCGGTGTGCCTTTTCAAACTCGTCGAAGAGCAGCACGGCATAAGGCTTGCGCCGCACCGCCTCGGTGAGCTGTCCGGCGTCCTCGTAGCCGACGTAGCCCGACGGCGCGCCGATGAGCCGCGACACGGTGTGCTTCTCCTGGAACTCGGACATGTCGAAGCGCACCACGGCCGACTCGGTCGAGAAGAGGAACCCGGCGAGCTTCTTGCAGAGTTCCGTCTTGCCCACGCCCGTCGGACCGAGGAAGAAGAACGATGCCAGCGGTTTGTTCTCGCCGCTTAGGCCCGCGCGCTGCAGACGGACCGCGTTGGCGACGGCTTTGATGGCATCGTCCTGGCCCTTGACCGATTCGCGGAGGCTGTCCTCCATGTGCACCAGCTTCTCAATGTGGCCCGAAGTCAGCTTGGAGACGGGGATGCCAGTGATGCGGGAGACGACCGCACCAATGTCGTCGGCGGTGACGCTGTCGTGGATGAGGGTGCTATCGTTGGGCTGTTCTTGTTCAAACTCCGTGGGCAGTTTCTGTTCGAGATCTGGAATAACGCCGAAGCGGAGCTCCGAAGCACGCCCAAAGTTGCCGGTGCGCTGGGCCTGGTCCAGTTCGAATCGGGCCTTGTCAAGATCTTCCTGAATCTTCTTGACGGCGTCAAGCTCCGATCTTTCCTTTTCCCACCTAGCGTTGAGTTCGGAGATTTCTTCCTGGTACTTCTTGAGCTCCTGCTCGAGCTTCTCTCGTCGCTCCTTGCTGGCAACGTCCTTCTCCTTACGCAGACTCTCCAGCTCAATCTGAATCGTCATGATCTTGTGGTCGAGGCGCATGATGTCCTCTGGCTTTGATTCGTGCTGCAGCTTGAGGTGGCTGGCAGCTTCGTCCATCAGGTCAATCGCCTTGTCGGGCAAGAATCGATCCGTGATGTAGCGGTTTGATAGGGAGGCGGCAGCTACGAGAGCGCCGTCGGTAATGCGGACACCGTGGTGCACCTCGTACTTGTCTTTGATGCCTCGCAGGATGCTAATCGTGTCTTCCACGGTCGGCTCATTAACAATGATAGGTTGGAAACGTCGTGCCAAGGCAACATCCTTTTCAATGACTCGATATTCCGCGAGAGTTGTAGCACCGCAGCACTGCAACTCTCCACGAGCGAGTGCGGGCTTGAGCAAGTTGGAGGCATCGATAGAACCCTCTGCTTTGCCGAGACCGAGCAGCGTATGAAGCTCGTCAATGAAGAGGATTACTTGGCCTTCAGCCTTTTGTACTTCGTCGAGCACCTTCTTCAGTCGCTCCTCAAAGTCACCGCGAAACTTGGCACCAGCGATGAGGGAGCCGAGATCCAGACTGATGACTCGTTTGTTCTTGATGCTCTCGGGGACATCGCCATTAATGATGCGCAGTGCCAAACCTTCCAACACAGCGGTCTTTCCGGTACCGGCATTGCCAATCAGTACCGGATTGTTTTTTGTTCGTCTGGAAAGAATTTGAATGGTTCGTTGAATTTCAGCATCGCGGCCGATGACGGGATCGAGTTTGCCGTCGCGGGCACGAGCTGTCAGGTCAACACCAAACTGCTCCAGGGCGGGCTTCTCCTCCTCGCCGCTCATGTTCATTCGATGTGTTCCGCCAGGAGGATGAGGCCCTCGGCCGGTGGCATATGTTCGTGTGACCATTGTGGGCAGAAGCCGCGTAGAGGCCGGGCTTCGAGCCAGAGCTCTTGCGCTGGCAATAGCGGCAGGTCTGTATGTTCGCGCAGTGGCACCAGCTAGGCGCTGGGCCGACGTTATTATTTGTCGTCGAGCTTGCATTGTTGGTAGAAAAGCTTAATTATTCTGAGTAGTCTCGAAAAAAAAAAAAGAATCAAGGATCAAGCCATTGCTTTCCCGCGAACTTTCGAAGGCGTGCAATATCTAGTCCTCGCATCAGGTGTTGCTGGAAGCTCTACGACTTTCTGGTGGGGCCGCGAGCGTTCGCGCACCTTCTGCCAGCACCTTGAAAACCGTCATCGGGCGATAGCGATAAGCCCCAGCAGCTCAGCCGCCAACACCGGTGACAGGCATGAGTAGCGCACACCGAAGCTGCAAATCTTATCGTCACGTGTGGCCAGCCCCGTACCCGCACACCAGTTGGGCAGGGCAGGTACGTACCGGTGCCGTAAGCGGCTTAGTGCCAGAGGGTTCACATTTTGCTTCCCACAAACTCGCCTAGCGGCTTTCACAAAGAAATCTAACATTCTGGGCCGACCATCACGAACGTGTCTTCCCTTTCCTTACCTCTCCACACCTCGATACCAGACACAATCAGAGAGTCAAAATGTCGACAAAGCCCACGTCCAAGAAGTTCGGCAAGTCGACCCGGGAGGTTCCCGCGGCCGCGGACAAGGCGAAGAAGTGGTACAACGCCGACGACGAGTCTGAGCCCAAGCAGGTGAGTTTGCTGATGGCAGTGACATGATGGCATCGCGACAACGAGATATCTTTTTGGGACAAGCACACATCTCCCCCACGATGGAAAGAGTGGCGACGCGATTGGGCATTGGCGACGAATTCGAAAGCGACATCTACTGCAGATGACACCCCGCCGCGACAACGACACCGTCAAAACCCTATCTCGACCAACGATGGAGCGCTATTGGACAACCAAGACGAGAACGACCTCGAGGGATGCGCAATTGCTTTAGCCTATCCCTGTGCTTTCCGGGAGATGTGTTGTCCGAAAATTGATATTTTGCTATTTTGTGTGCTCGGATGGCCATGACACGCAGATTCAAGGGCAAGCGACTGACCATTGTTCTTTGATACAGGTCCGCAAGACTGTCCGCGCCTGGAATCCTCGCGCCTCTCTCCAGCCCGGTACCGTCCTGATCCTGCTCGCCGGTCGCTTCCGCGGCAAGCGCGTCGTCCTCCTCAAGAACCTCGAGCAGGGTGTCCTCCTCGTCACCGGCCCCTTCAAGATCAACGGCGTACCCCTCCGCCGCATCAACTCCCGCTACGTCATTGCCACCTCGTTCAAGGTCGACGTCTCCGGCCTCGACCAGAAGAAGGTTGACGAGATTGCCCAACCAAAGTACTTCACCGCCGACAAGGCCAAGGAAAAGGCTGGCGCCGACGCCTTCTTCAAGCAGGGCGAGAAGCCTCAGGTAAGAAATCTCACTTTTACTGGAGTTCTCAACACTGCGGTACCCGTGGTGTTGTGAGCTGGTCCGCCGCAATAGTGTGCTAACGCAACAATTACAGAAGAAGCAGATCAGCAGCAGCCGTGCCGCCGACCAAAAGGCCATCGACAAGGCCCTGCTTGCCAGCATCAAGAAGGTCGAGATGCTCCCCAGCTACCTTGCCAGCTCCTTCTCCCTGCGAAAGGGCGATAAGCCCCACGAGATGGCCTGGTAAATGTCCGATAACGAGAAAAGAAAAAAAGCAAAAGAAAGAGCAGTCGAGCAGGCAAGAAACAGGAGAATTTTCTACCCACACACACACATAGTTTCTTTTTTTTTTTCATAATGCGAATCTAAACGTCTCATTTGGTCATTTGATGGCTGTCTCTTTCTTGCAGAGAAACAGAGGAATTACGCGGTGAAAACGATGGGATTGCGCTTTGTGATGTGAAATTGGAAACAGTGGATGGATACTTTTTGGTTTCTTTGCGCTCGCTCCTCCGACTCTTGCTTCATTCTTCTCTGGTATGGATGATTTCACGTGGGAACAACAAAATTACGAACAAAGGGGCGAAAGCGACAAGGAACAAAAAGGGCAAAGGACGGACTGGGCGGTCACTTTTGCCCTGGTTTACACAATTTTTCCTTTTGATTTTTTTTACGAGTGGGGGTTCTTTGAACCAGACGACAGTCGGGGTGTCGCGACGGCTGTTGGTCGCAAAGACAAACTTTGGTGTTGTAGAAACGGAAAATGGGTTTTCCGACCCTCTGCATTTGGAAGTTGAAACGGGCATTCGGTCACATCTTGGCGTCTGTAATTAGGTTTTTACAGTCAAAGAAATTTCAAAAAAGACCATTGACAAACATGAAACAAGAAACGTGCTGCTTCACTTTTACATAGACAAAACGACGTAACAAGTCTCACTTTATGGCGCCGCCTGGGGTCCGAAGAGAGTTAGAGTAGACGTACTCGTTGCACACAACACCTTTCACAGCAAATACAGACGGGCTCCCACATGCACGTAGATATTTATGTCAATTGTTATGTTTAACATCATTTTTTTACTTTTGTCTATAAATAGGCCAAAACATGGTTTCCCGTTTGTCTATATATACAAAACATCGTCTCCGAGATTAGAGCTTACGGTCAGCCCAACTCTGGAGGAAAGATTCCAGCGTGGGCTCATAGTTCTTGAGAGTCACTTTGCCAGTAGCCTCATCCAGGTACGTGTTGGCCTGGACAAAGACCTTACGAGGTTGCTTGTTTGCGAGAACAACGTCACGGACCTTGGTTCCCCAGAAGTCAAGACCAACATTAGTCATGTGGTTGTACAGCTCCAGGCCGGCCTTGATGTCAGCGGTGCTCTTGTAGACGTGAAGCTTCTGCAAGTAATCTCCAACAGCTATTCGCACGTGTCAGCATTTCAGTTCAAAGACTTTAACATGGGTCAAAGAGCTCTGTGATGACTTACCTCGGCGACCAGTGGTAAGAATCTTGGAGCGGTCCAGGCTGATGACTAGATCCGACAAATCGTCCTTGGTGTAATCGAGCTTGCAAAAATCATCACCAGCGTCGATAAAGCACTTGAGAATAGAGAAGCGAGCCTGCGAGTGCGCTTGCCCCCACTTCTGGCTCTTGGGATCCCACATCTCGACGGCGCCGAGTCCTGCTTTGGCCATGCCCAGATACGAAGCGTAGAGAACGTCACCCGCTTCATTGTCAATGTTCTCGGTGCCATCACCAAAACCAAAGATCTTGAGAACCTGGAAGTCACAGGCCAGGTACATGGCAACAAGCTCGGCACGACATTCCTCATACGAGGCGGCAATGGCGCCGAATACGGAGCCCCAGGTCTCGCCAGGCTTGTACCAGGTCGAGATGGGCTTCTTCGTAACTGGAGAAATTGGGGGGTTGGCATTGTCAAAGTTGAAGACGCCGGGAGCAGTCTCCTGCAGAAGCTTGCCGCACCCGTGGCCTATGATCTGTTAGTATCTTACAGTCCACATTGCTCATGTCCTGATTTGAGGCTCTTACCAGTCAGCTCGTGAAGGCCCACCTGGACCTCAAAAGCAGGCTCACGGTATTTTTTTAAGAGCGGAAGGTCTGCCTCTTTGACGAAGGGAATCTTCTCGTTGGGGTTGGTGGCACCCATGATGTTACCTAACGAAACATTCTTGAAACCCTCATTTTGACGAATGTCGTCAAAGTTGGGAATATTAATACCCGCAGGGATGCCAGAGCAGTTGAATGTGAGGACTTCCAGAGAGGTGAAATCCGGTGCAAGGAACTTGTCCTTTTCAAAGTCGGCGCTCCAGGGCAGGAGAGGGACGAGTCGGGCCGAAGCCTCGACAAGCTCACCGAAAGCACGAGTGCGCTCTTGGTTAACCATGGCGACGAAGCCTTCAAACTCACCGCGAACACCAGCAGGGTCACGATAAGTCTCAACAAAGCCAATATTGCACTCGATCGCGGGGCTCTTGTCCTTGATCCACCAACGCTGGCTGTCCTTGAAAGCATTGTGGGAGCCAGTCGAGAATGCCTTGGCATAAGCCAAGTGCATGTTCTTCTGGTTCTCGTTGGCGGCGTTCTCGGCAGCACGTTCGAGATTCTTGGCAACGTTGGCCATTTCGTTGGAGTAGTCTCCGAATATGAGCTTGATCGACTTGCCCTTTAGATGGCCATCCTCGACAGTGAACTCAGTCTGCTTGCCAATGTCGGTGCCCTCGGTAGGAGGCGAAGTGATGGCAGATGCGATCAAAATCTCAAAGCCGTCACTCTTCTTGCGCAGTCTGGTGTTCTCGGGCAGCAGGTTCTTGTCAGCCATCCAAGTGTTGATAGCTTCAATCTCAGCCTTTGTGATGTCATCGGAGTCCGGGTAGTAAGTGGTCGTGTGACCGTCGTCGAGGAAGCCAAGATGCATCTTGGATTGCTGAGAGTGGTCAAAGATGGCAGCCTTGCACTTCTCGTAGTGCTTGGCCGCCTCGGGAACCAATGCAGCAATTGCATCTACCGACTTTACGCTGCAGCGGGGCAAGAACTTGGCGTCACCAAAGCTCTTATAGTTGCCCAGATTGCCGAGGACCTGGACCGAGTATTCGAGGAGCCTTGAGACTTCGTCGGCCTCGATTCCAGCCTTGGCGGCGAGAGAGGACCAGTCACCATTGCAGCTGTTGTGAACGGCAATTACAAAGTCGAAGATGGCTTCAGCTTCGAGGGAGGTCTGGCGCAAGCCAATCCTGGTACCCGCAATGGCGGCTCTGTGGTACATGGTTAGAGAAAAGAGTTGTCGGCAGCTTGGGGGGCTCGTGAGATGCGCGCATACCGGCTGATGAAATGGCTGTAGCGCTTCTGCTGATCAGACAGGATCTCAAAGTGCTGCTCAATCTTCAGAGGCAAGACCAGAGGTGGCTGGTCAGCCAGATATTGCTGAAGGTCATTGGGCTGCATTGTGGAAGAGTAGCGAGCAAGTAGCGCTGTTGCAGGTCGTATGCGACTGCAGGGAAGACGCGAGATAGAAGTGAGGGAGTTCCGGACGGCAACTCTCAATGGCAGCCTTGGAGAGATTGCAATGAGGGGAAGACTGAAAGTCATGAAAAAGTGTGCGACGTGGCGTGTGGGAGCGGCTAGTCTTATATACGAGCGACAGGACCGGACAAGTTGAAGGGCACACTGCGCTTTCTCACGGCCCGTTGGTGGCGTGCGTAATAATCTGCGCCTGGGTACCGCCTGAGGAGAAGGGTTCTACGAATGTGGATGGCGGGGGACCTTGCAGTTGGAGAACTTGTCGACTTGCCTAATGAGGCTACTGTGCGGTGTGGCGGGTGCCACAAGTCGAACCACGGGAGAAGTAGAAGTGGTGGCGTGGTTGGGTAGACTGAACGAGCCCGGGTTGTGTGAATGCTGATATATGTGTTTGTTGTGATGCTATTCCGAGGCGTGAGAGTTGTTGGAAGTCGGCTGGCGGCCCGGCAAGCTTAGACCCTAGACCCTGGCACCGGGCATTTCGGACCTGGCAGCGGCCGGATTAAAATTGATGCTCAGCGGGGACATGGACATGATGATGTTGCCGTTACGTTACGAGACAGACTCTGCCCTCGGCAATTCCATATATTATTGACACGAGTATTGAACATGCTGCAGTTGTGATGCCAAAGGTTCCAATTCAGTGTCTCCAATACCGGATTTGAAGCTGCATATGGTACCAATATGCCCCTCCTGCGTGTTGAAAGCTGACGGCTGGGAAGTCGGCACCCTAGGCTTCAACCAAAAGATACCCACTCGCAGCTAAAATGCTACTATGCACAACACCACCTCCTGCCAGTCTCTCTCTGCTGATTTATTAAGCCGAACAATACAAGTATTTAGTGTAACCACAGTGGAGTTAGTTATCCGTTAATTTGGGGCCTTCTCGCAGGGCCTTTTGTCGCTATTGGTACGGAGTCCTCGTGGTGGGTTTTTCGGCCGCTGCCATTTCTGGTGGATGCGTCTAGAAGCAGGTGGGAAAGCATTCAGAGTTCAGCCAAAAAGGCGAAGACGGAGGTGCTCAGGAAAGATCGGCGTTGTGTATGTGAACTACAGTCATCTCTGTTGCTATTGTTCAAGATGGTGGCTGTATTGTTCTGGGCAAAAGTAGCCTCTCCTCCGCCAATCGATGACTCGTAATTTGCAAAAAGCATACCTCAACTATTAGTTAGCACTTACCCTCCACTCCAACAACAACGCAAGTTTGACAAGGCAATCTAAATTAGCCAAAAAGAGCCATTTGCCCGTCAATAGTATCCCCAGATACAAATGAGCGTCGCACAGAACCAATACCGATAGCAGTAGTACGCACAGTGATGATTTCATTTCTCGATTGATCTACAGGGTAGGCTGCACTTGCCGGTCCTGCCAGCTGCTGGCTCCTACCCCGAGCACGCTCCGCAAACACAACACCACGAGAGGACGCTTTCAAACACTCATGAGCATCAACACAGTTGACCAATTCGGACAAGACGATTGATCCCATCAACCGTCCTAAAGCCCGATCCAGCCGCACCAAACACCATTTATAATAGTAGGAAGCCAGAATCAATCGTGAGTCTTCGGCCTATTTCCGAGCGTCGCTGATAGCGGCCGCAGTGCACGACCACATTCAATCTGCGAGAGATTTAATCAGAACCACCATGCCGCAAATTCGAATTCAAACGCGGCAATAACTCACTGTCGCCTCAGCGCGCTTGTATTTGTCGCCTGGCACTCGAGAGTTTGACGCGCCGGACAAGGTGGCTGCACCCGATGCCAGATCAAGCAGCCACTTAACTGCTTAACTGTCACCCCCACGCAAGCGACGGCCCATCGAGGGATGTTCGTCGCGTTTGTGCAAGGGAGACCGATGAAACATGGACTCAGCATGTTCCGTTGGGATTAATCCGCGGCCTGAGCGCGTCAACCGATCCCCTTCTCCGTTTGAATCATTGTATACCGAATGATCTTGAAACAAAGACATTGTATCGGCGCCTGCCTCGTGTCGAGCCCAGGAGTAATTTTTACCTTGGACTAAGAGATCCATGTTGGGTGCTGGGTCGGGTGATGAACCCTTGACTTCTTCACCCCTGCCATTTCGGCGGATGACACAATGCTTGTATACCTGTGCCCCTATCATTGCGCGTGTCAGTCGTTCTATTTACTTGCGCACCATACATACTCTGACAACTTGCCGGACCACGTCTTAAATCGACCGTTGTTTTACGAAAATATCCCCGATAACGTGGCAGAGGCACCGTCGCGGCGTGCCATGACGTAACGTGCTTCCCGGAGGTAGAGACAGGCAAATCCTACAACCTCTTTGGTCTACCCCCACGTTATCGGCATCGCTTGGTGTCACAGCAGCCTGTGGAACCGCACGAATTACATGCACAGAGCGCTCGTTACTTCATATTGACTCCTGTGAGCCCGGTCCGTCCGCTGCGCCCAAAGAGGCATCTACCGCCAGATGATACCGAAAGGAGCGCATATCCACTAAAATGCCGGACGGACCTGCTGCCCGGGGCGCCGGTTGCGCATTCAAAGCTTGCTTCCGAAAGCGAATCGAGGGATAAAAGACTGGGCGGATTCTCCTTTGAACAGCCAGACAAGACAAGACTCATCCTGCTCGTCATTTGAAAAGCCCACCCACACAGCTGGGCACACTACGAGACCCGCCAAGCCGCAACAGACCCAGCCTGCCAGCCCAACCAGCATCCCCAGCTTTTGAAGGAGAGAGACCAAAAGGTGGACGCTGCAAGGTTTTTCTCACCCCCTTCCGCCTTCCGACTGGGCTGGGGGGTTGGCTAAAGAGAAATAAAAGCGAGCCGCCCCAGTCTCGAGTTCTAGCGCCCTTCGATTGATTCTAAACGTCCTCTAACCTTTGCTCGCCCTTTTTTTTGTCTCGTCATCTTACTACATACATACTCCTGCCATCATTCGCCCGCGCGACCCGAACGCGTGGATTAGTTCTAGCGTCGATCACACCTGCATGACCAGAGCAAGCCCAAAAGCCTTGCGATAATCTTGTAGCTTGCGTGGGACTGCCGAACTCACTATATCGTCGCACAGCAGCTGCCGGCTGCTACCTACCTACCTACCTACCTACCTACCTGCCTACCTATATACTGTAGCTCGCCCTCCACCATCAGCATCGCTCCTCCTTTTCGAAAATGCTATCCTACGACGCACCAGTTCCAATTGCTGGCCAAGGGCAGGACGCTCCATCGCCTGCGCCACTCAAGGCTTCGTTACCAAACAGCATCACCGGTTCCGCCAAGCAACCAAGCACCGCGCAGATGGGTTCCGCAGCTCCCGCCGTGGACCATGACCGGCACAACCACATTTGGCTCGTCACAGGGCCCGCAGGATGTGGCAAAACGACCATTGCCGAACATATTGCTGAAGCCAATGGCATGCCTTACGTTGAAGGCGACTCTGTAAGTCGAACACTGCCACAACATCGTCTCAGTGGCGACTAACAGACGTGGACAGTACCACACGGCTGCCAATGTGGAAAAGATGAGAACAGGCGTGCCATTGACGGACGAGGACAGATGGGACTGGCTGGGACAGCTCCGCGACGAGTCGAGGCGCCGGCTCACCGCCGGAGCGCGCGGTGTCGTGGTGACGTGCTCGGCTCTGAAGCGCAAGTACAGAGACGTCATCCGCGTCGCGGCGTACTATGACCGCAGCATCTTGATTCACTTTATCTACTTGGATGCGCCGGCCGAAGTGCTTCTACAGCGAGTCTCTGCGCGCCAAGGTCACTACATGGGAGCCAACATGGTGCGAAGCCAGTTTGACATTTTGGAGCGTCCAGCCGATGACGAAACAGACGTCTTCAGCATCGACGTCAGCCGATCGATTGAAGAGGTCAAGCGAGACGCTCTCGCCCGAGTTCACGAGGTGATGGGCGCGGAGAGCGTCTCGTGATCTATCTCGCTACGCCAAGCCAGATACAGTCGATGCAGGTCTCGAACATTGCAGGCACTATTATGGCCTTTTTTTATCCCTACTTTACTTGGCTGAATGAATTGGCACAAGACATGTGCGCGATTATCGGGCCTGCATCGTCATGAAGAAGGAGGATGCAGGGAAACGCGGGGGCGTATCAAGTGCGGCGCCTTCTTCTTACCGTTACCTTGTCTCACATTAATATGGCTAGGCTGAGCCTGGCATACAATCTTTCCCTCTTTTGAATTCGCTTCTTGTATAAAAAGGTTAGCTGCAGGCTTGACAGCAGGACAGCCATTATGCAATGCACTCGTTCCTTTTTGCCCGGGCTAATTACATACGAATAGACAGCGTTGTTCTTTGACCGCTTTATGGTTGCTTTTTCTTTCCCTTTGTCGTTGCTTGGCAGGGACGGTAGACAATGCATGGACAAGACGCGGGCGGCTATGCACCACATCTTACTCTCGCGCGTTGTTGCTGGAAGTGGGCATGCCTAATCTACGTATCTTGCTCCCCCTCCCGTTTCTCGATGCTGGGGTAATAGCCTGTCTCTGTCACTTGTACTATGCAGATGGGCTAACAAGGGGGCACCGAATGCATGGCTAGTCGTCCTCTTACAGCTTACGGACAACAGGGCGGTCTCGAAGACGGCCATGTTTTTTTTCCCCATGCGCTTGCTGGGCTTGCCGCCCGCATGCTGCCATCCCATCTTCAGACAGGGCGGGATGCAGCGTGACGGCAAGTCACCCCTGCCACCGTGGTCAAAAGCAGCCGGCTTTATAAAGCACTGAATTAGTGAGACGGACATGTGTCGTGAAAATCCTGATGCGTAGATTGGCTTTTATAATTTTCGACCTCCTGTACTATTCTATACGCTAATTTGGCTTTACAGCGTAGTTATCTGCAGATGACGAGAACACATCAACAACCTTTCCCCCCCACCAACCCCCCTCTCTTCATGTGCAGAACGGAGAATTTAAATCCCCCCCCCCATGCGTCATCTTGCCCTGCTGCACGCGGCTTGTCCAGCGTGACGTCCCCGTGCCGGCAGCTTGCATGCACCATGCAAGACGCAGAGGCAGGTCTGGGGTCACGGGTGGCGTCAATCTGCTGGGCAAGGGTTTTTTTGCTTTACTGGGATCCGTTTTCCCCCCCAAAAATAAAAATAAAAAACGGGCTGGCTGTCTCTGAGTTGTGCGGAATGAGCTGTGAGCCTGGAAAATGCAAGGATTCCTAACTAAATTAGCTTCGTGGCGTTCATGTATGCTTCTCGGTCTGTGTCCTCTCCTCTCTTTTCTCCGTGGGGCGAGCAGGTCTTGTTTCTCCTGTTCCAGACCACGGCCATTCCATTGATAGCGTGAGCTGTTTGGTCTTTATTATTGAGGCGGTTGTCGTGGCTTGCATATCCCGGGCAGCCGGAAGCGTAGCAAAAACCACAGACGATAAGGAAGAAGAAGAAGACGAAAAAAAAAAAAGTTGAAAACAAATCCAGTAGTCGTGGAACCGAAACAATAGACTCGCTAAATGTGATTCCATATGCAGTGTATGTATTGCCTCTTCTGTCCTTCCGCTTGCCTCCCCCCCCTCTCCATTGCTTTTGCTGTTTTTTTCTTCTTTTTTTTTCTTTTTTAGCGAAGGTGCATGACCATGACATCGGGCTCTTCCACCACGCTGCGAACAACGTCGGCCGCGCGGGCCATGGTGGCGCCGTCGACGACGCGGTGGTCGGCGCTCCAGCTAAAGTTGCAAATCTGCTTCTTGACAATGTTGTCGTGCTCGTCAAAGGCGGGGACGGTGCGCATGCGGCCGATGCCGAGGATGGCGACCTCGCGCTCGACAATGACGGGGCTCAGGTAGGTGCCGCCAATGTTGCCAATGTTGGAGACGGTGATTGTGCCGCCCGCCATGTCGGCTGGGCCCAGCTTGCCCTGCTGCGCGAGCGCCTGCAGCCGGCCGAGCTCGGCGGCAATGGAGACGATGTTGAGGGCGCCGACGTTTTTGATGACGGGCACGACGAGACCCTGCGGGGCGTCCATGGCGACGCCAATGTTGTGCTGGGAGCGCATGATGAGAGACGGCTTGCCGTTGGTGGTGGTGGTGGTCGGATCGAGCTCGACGCGCGCGTTGAGGATGGGGAACTGGTACAGCGCCAGCGACACGGCCTTGATGATAAAGGGCAGGTAGGACAGCTTGGCGAGCTGGCCGTCGTTGTTTTGGGGCGTCTTGGCGAGCACCTTGTTGAGGCGACTGCGGAGGCTGACGAGGTCCGAAAAGTCAATCTCGTCGGCGTAGAGAAAGTGCGGAATGGTGAGCGAGCGCGACATGGTCTTGAACATCATCTGCTGCGTCGGCGTGAGCGGCTGTCTCGTCTCCGTCTGCACCGACGTGTCGGCCGGCGCGGTAGATGCGACGGCCGACGGCCCGCCAGGCGCGGCGGCGTCTCTATTCTCGACAAACTTGAGGATATCTTCCTTGCTGACGCGCCCGTCCTTGCCGGTGCCGTCAATGTCGTTGATATCCACGCCCAGCTCCTTGGAGAGGTGGCGCACCGCGGGCGTCGAGATGGAGGCGCCCTTGCCCTTTTGTCTTGGGGGCGCGGCGGGCGGTTCTGTAGGCGTAGAGACGGGAGCTGGAGCCGGAGACTGTGCTGCCGTCGGCGCAGGAGTCGCAGGCGCTTCTTGCTCCTTGGCCGGGGCCGGGGCTGGTGGTGCTTCGGTATCGGCGGCGGAGCCGCCCTGTATGTCAATGTCGACAAAGGGCTTGCCGACCTTGGCCATTTCGCCGGCCTCGTAGTAGAGCTTCTTGACGGTGCCGGTGAAGCGCGACGTGATTTCGACCGAGGCCTTGTCGCTCTGGACCTCGCAGAGCGGGGAAAACTCCTCGACGCGGGCGCCGGGCTCGACGAACCACTGGATGACTTCGCATTCGACGATGCCTTGTTTGCGGGGGCGGGGAGTGGTCAGCACGGCGATGCAAAACAACAAGCAAAAAAAAAGGACAAGAACAACGGTTAAAAAAAATAAAAAATGAAATCAAGAATAGGCCAATCGAGAACACATAAAAGAACTGTACACACCTTCACCAATATCCGCCAGCAGGACGGGCTTGACCGCGCACAGGCGTCTAGATTCGGAGAACCATCTGGGGACCCCGGATTGTGGTGTTTTGCCCATGGCAACGCGGCCTACGGCCTTGGAAGCTCCCCATTGCGAGCGGAGAGCTCTCGATCCACGCTGGAGAAACATGCTATTTTCCCCAAATATGAAGCTTTGCAGAAAGATAAAGAAAGAAAAAAAAATATTGTGTGAGAAACCAACGGTAGGGAGCAACGAAGAAGAGAAGGAAGAGACAAAGACCAACTCCCTCCCCCCCAGCCAATTGCGGGCAGATGAATAATTGTTGCGCGGCTCAAGAAACAGAGGAACGCATTCAGTCGGCATTTGTTGGTGATGGGGAAGAGGGTCCCGCGAATAGCCGAGTCTGGGGCACCGAAAGCCCCCCCAAACTAGCAACTTGGCTTAAGCCGCTGAAGCAGTGAGGCCACCCGACTGACGCCCGCTGGAGGGCAGATGGGTTAGGTGACGGGCGTGATGCGTCACAGAAGTTGTTGAGTCGAAATTTTCTAGACAGGCAGTTTTGAATATACTAGTATGAATAATTATGCCGCACAAAAGCTCTCTCGCTGGCTGATGCTGGGCCCATCCGCCAATGTAGAAGTGCCGAGGTCTCGCTTTTAAAATAGACGTGTGCGGCTTCGCTCTGTAAGTAAAATGTATAAACTCGCGAAAAGTTTGGCTTTGAGTTTCTGCCATAAACACCTCTAGACCAATCGGATTAATGTGGTACACTTAGGCAACTGGCAATGGATGATGTTCCTTCGTTCACATGGGTGACGCAGAGCATGTGTGCAAGAATCAGGAATCGAACTGGCTCGAGAGCGACGGCATGCAGGATGATGCATGCAAAATATCCTTTTTAGCATGCTGCATGCCGATTGACAGGTCCATTGTAAAATATGTCACTTGTACTGAGCCGTTGCTGGGACGCGGCATCACCAACCCTCCATACGTTGGCAACTAGACGTACCCGCATATACAATTCGGTCAGCGGTACACTATCTGATTGTCTTTGATGGGCACAGTATTACTTGCGGCCCAAATGTGAGAGAATGAAAACGTCTTCTTCTTTTATTCGCTTGTTGACCATATGCTAGTAGTTTACGCCGCGTAGCCAATCAAGAAGAGCCATGGACGCGACAATCACTTCTCACAGAGCAACCATCACATCAATTTGCTGGCCTGAAAAAAAAGTGTAGATTTATTGTGGAAAAGAAAAGACAAGAAAAATACATTTTTCCTGGCAATGGCGCTCACCATATAGCAGAATCACCCTTCTACCACACCAACACTTGGCCCGCTCTCAGATTATCAATACCAGCCCCAGAAAAAAAACGCCAACTTATTCGAGAAGTGACCTCTTTCCATCTCCAACCCTCGTCAACCGCACTCACAGCACCATGTCATCGCGGCGCATAGGCCTGGCCGTTGCCAGCAGCCTCACGAGACGCATCTCGCCACGACCGGGCCCCGTATGCGCCCGCTGCCAGTGGCAACGCAGCTTCGCGGCCACGGCGGCGCCTCACGGCCCACGCACGTCCAAGCCCGCCGCCGGCATCTCCATGGACCCCCAGAGCGACATTGCCGGCCCGGCCATTGAGGCGCCGCGCAGCTACGGCAAGCGCTTCGACGGCGTCTTCACGCCCAAGCCCCTGCCGCGCCCGATTGGCATGCCGCTGCCGCCGCGGCCCGGCGAGAACACGGGCATTGACGCCCGCACACGCGAGCAGCGCAAAAAAGACTTTGCCGACTGGGACAAGCACCTAGCGCGGCGAAAGGAGCTGTAAGGGATGACGTCGACGACGACGACGACGACGACTGATGGTGGCTGCTCGGGAGAGCGGCGACCTGTGTGCGAATTTTGGGAAGAAGCTAACAAAAGACATTATCAATCCTCTAGTACCGCCCAGCTTTCACGACCATATTTCCGCGACTGGAACAATCTCAAGTACCACGACGGCAAATCCTTCATCGCGCCCCCGCGGCTCTTCAAGGCCGAATTCTCCCTCTTCTTCCCGAACCTCTACGGCCAGACCATTCTCAGGACCGACAAGGAACCCCGCGACACGACGCCGCTCCTCGCCGGCAAGGCGTCGGTCGTGTGCATCTTTAGCAGCCAGTGGGCCGAGGCGCAGGTCGAGAGCTTCACGTCGGCCGCGGCGAACCCGGCGCTGCAGGACATTCTCGCGCGGCACGGCGGCCGCGACGGCCTCGCGCAGGTCGTGCGCGTCAACTACGAGGACAATGCGGGCAAGGCCTGGCTGGTCCGTCTCTTCATGGGCGCGCTGCGCAGGCGCCTGCCCGAGCACGAGTGGGACAAGTACTTTTTGGTGCGCCGCGGCGTCACCGACCACATTCGCGAGTGCATCGGCCTGCTCAACTCAAAAGTCGGCTACACGTACCTCGTCGACCAGCACTGCCGCGTGCGCTGGGCGGCCAGCGGCAACAGCAGCCCCGAGGAGGTGGAGGGCCTGAACCGCGGCCTCGTCAGGCTGGTCGAGGGCATCGAGACGGAGGCGCTGCTGCCCTCGACGGCGCGGGAGCCGGTGCCTGGACGCAAGGCTATCAAGGATCTCGCGCAGAAGCGCGCTGCCGAAAAGACAGAGACGACAACATAAGAGAAGCATGTGGAAGGTCATTGTATATTAGATTAGAAAAAAACACAACCCCATATAATAGCATATAGATGGAAACAATACGCTGATACCCTTTTCGAACAGCATTTCCAATAACGCCGTCCCGTGCAATTTGTACAACATTTCGCGTCGACTTCTTTCCCCTTTTTACAGGAAGAACCAGAAAAACACAAAGCAAAACGCGATAAAGGCGCCCATGATGATGCCGTCACGACGCTTCTTGGCCGATATCCGCCCGATGAGGGTGTTGATGCCGGGCACCTGGTTCGCGGCGCCGGTGATGCGGCGCTGGATGCTGGCGAGCGTGTCGCGCTGCACGAGGAAGCTGTCGTTGACGGCGTAGGCCTGGCTGAGGACGCTGTCGGCCATGCCGTGGCTGTTGTCGATGCGGCGGCGCTCGTCGAGCATGTACTCGGCCTCGGCGGCCGCCGGGTTGCTGGCGCGGTACTCGTCAATGTCGGAGCGCACATTAGTCAGGAGGTTGGCGCGGTCGCGCGCGTGCTGCAGGCTGGACCGCAGCCGCGCGAGGTCCTTTTTGTGCCCCGACAGCTTCTCCCGCAGCAGCGATAAGTTGTTTTGCTTGAGCGCCGACGACGTCAGCGCCGCTTCCGAGTCGAGGAGCCGCGCGAGCTGGCTGATTGTGGATTCGCGCTGCGGCAAGGGTTAGCTGGCCGTGTTCGTCCCGAGGACGGGGGGGAAGCAGCGAGCAGGATGGAAGTTTTCAGGTCCGTACCTTTTCTAGCAGCTCCTCAATCTTGGTTTCTGTCGTGCGTTCCTCTTGCGTCGGTTTTGGAGGGATCGAAGCCGCCGTTGAGAATTGCGAATATGTGTGGAAGAGACTCTCAGTCTGGTCATGCTGGTCAGCCTCCATCTGATATAGGGCCAAGGGCTCTCGGTTATCCTCTCACCTGTGTCTCTAGGGAGCGGGCTTGTTGTCGAAGCTGGGCCCAGCCAGCATTTCCTGAGGGTGCGGCCATGATCGCTGTCACAGGGCCGGTACTGCGCGTGGCTTTTCTGTACACCAGAAGTAGGCCGGAAAGCAAGCCGTCGGAAGATGATAGGTAGATACCAGCGAAGCAGGAATGACGATGAAACTGGGTCCGCCCCGTCCCTGTTGAACTCGTAAGTTGTAATCAGTCTAGCCGGCTCCTGGATCGCGCTAAGCCCAGTACAGCGGAGTGTCGGCAGAACAGCTCTGACCGCTTTGACCCTCTACGATCACGTGGACCTCAGCACACAGCTCGATACGGCCAATCAAAATTAGTCGTCTGCCCCGCACCATTGACCCGGCCCACGCAACAGGCCGCTGCCCAAACAGGCAAAACCCTAGGGCAACTTTTTCACCGTCTCGGCAAAAATTCTCATAGTTTGTGGTGTGACTGCCCTGTGCCATACGATCCCCGTTTGCGAGCGACCCTGCTATTACTCTCTTCTCTGCACTTTCAGTCGACACCACTTCGCACACCCCCATCGAAGCATATATCTCAAGATGGTGAGTAGCATTGCATTCATCACCCCGACAATCGAAACGGAATTGTTCTCTTCCCTTATGGTCTCGGAGGCACGGTGCTGGCATGTCTCAAGGGCTTCCATGTCCGAGGGGATACACAATTCTGTGCACGGCGGGCAACTAGGCCACAATGGAGGGGAACGAGGTCGTCGATATGACTACGAGAATAAACGCTGCGGCTTTCTGCAAGGATTGACGGTCGAGGTTTTCCATGGGAGCAATTTCGATATGATTGCACGTTGAACGAGTTTGATACGACAACAATGAACGTTGAATTGCAGGATGGGAATGCGACATCTACATCCGCTACCGCAAGTTTCGATTGACTCTTGCATGGAAAACCTTTTGCCGTCGTCCTGCAGAACCGTCGCGCCTCTCGCCATATCCCTCCCCATCAACTTGACATCAGCATCTCGTCGCCCTCATGCTGACCCATTCCTTCTTAGTCGTCCGCAAAGGTTAAGACTGTCCAGCTCTGGGATAAGAGCAAGGATGACCTGCTGAAGCAGCTCGGCGAGCTCAAGGCCGAGCTCGGCCAGCTGCGCATCCAAAAGGTCGTCTCTTCCGGCTCCAAGCTCAACAAGATGTACGTTTTTTCTTTCTTTTCCTAGCTTCGCTCGACGCATCATCTCGTGACTCCGGCCCCGCTGACTTTTTGACAAAAATTACAGCCACGACTTCCGCAAGTCCATTGCTCGCGTCCTCACCGTCATCAACGCCAAGCAACGCAGCCAGCTCCGCCTCTTCTACAAGAACAAGAAGTACGCTCCCCTCGACCTCCGCCCCAAGCAGACCCGCGCCATCCGTCGCCGACTATCGCCCGAGGACAAGGCCCGCGTGCTCGAGAAGGCCAAGAAGCGCGAGACGCACTTTCCCCAGCGCAAGTTTGCCATCAAGGCTTAAATTTTTACGTCACGCAAATACAAAGTTTTTTTTTTTACTTGTAACGGGGTATCCATGAAGAGTGAGCGGACGACAAAAAAGAAAGCAACACAGCATAATGGGTGTTGAGGGAAAACGTTTTTTTCCTTTTGGCGAAGGACATCTTTTTTTATATCTTGAGAACGGGGGAAACGGCGTGGCGTATCCTTTTGATCTTCTCTTTTGCTTTGAAAAGATGCAAGGACGGGGAAAAAACAAGAGACTTTGAAACTCGAGCATCGCATTCGGCCGCAGGGTCTTGAACAGCTTTGGGGGTGTCTCCTCTCTGTATCTTGAAAGGCGGATGGGAAAGAGAAAATTTGGGGCCGGCAGGAATCTAGGACATTGTGGTTTCTGGCTGGCCCTTGGACTTGCTAGGCACAACGAGACAAGTCTGCAAGTACAAAATAAAAGGAAAAAAAAACGAGGTCATGATCCAACCTAAACAATTGTTTCCTATTCAATCTGCTATAATGTGACATGTCTTTACTGTGTGCACTTCTTGGCCTGGCTGTATGCTGCATCGTTGGTCGCCCGAGCATAGCGCACTGTCATAATTTTCCTTCTCATCACAATTCTAATTGACTTCATTCCTGTAGCTGGTAGCCCGAGCATAGAGCGCTGGACAATTCTGCTTCTCATCACAATCCTGATTGAGTTCATTCCTGTAGCTGGTAGCCCGAGCATAGAGTTCTGGCACAATTTTGCTTCTCATCACAATCTTGACATCCGTTTCTGTTCACTCTGCTGCAATGTGTCATGTCTTTAGTTCGTTGCACTTTTTGGTCTGGCTGTCTGTTGCATCGTTAATAGCCTGAGAATAGAGTGCTGACACAACTCTCCGCGTATCTTTACATTATTAATGTCACAGCAAGGCACACTTGATTTTCCAGTACTGTGGACGGGGAATTGAAGTCTCATTATACCTCATTTCTCACATGTCCGTCGTCTATCATGCTTTTCATACGCCCTTGCGGGGCTAAATAGTGTCTGACAATAAATACCATGCCATGAAGCACCATGCAAAATTAATTCCCCATAATCCGTAATAATCCTGTACTCCTGAAACGCCATTCCAATAAAAGAAGAAGAAAGAAGGAAAAAAAAAAAGAAAAACAAAGTCAAAAACCCTCAACAGGTAGGCGGTAGACTTGTTGAAACAACTCAAACTTGACAGCTGGCGGCGCTCTAGACAGTCTGCATCATGTCAGGATGCTCAAAGTCGCCAAGGCTCTCGCCAGGCAAGATGGATATGCTGGGCTTGGATATTCTGCCCGTCTTGACGCGGCTCAGAATCTTGCTGACTTCTTCTGGCTTGTCCTTGTGGTTGGTGCCCATGTGTCGGCGCAGCTGGTCTAGTCTGTGAAAGTCCTTGCCGCAAATCTCGCAGACGTGCGAGCCGCGAATGTTGTGGATACGACGGTGCTTGGAGAGATTGGACGACTCGCCAAACTTTTTGCCGCAAATATCACACTGCAACGGTTTGGCGCCGGTGTGGGTGCGCTCGTGCATGGTCAGGGCGCTTTGCTGCTTAAAGGACTGGTTGCAGCCGGCAAAGGAGCAGACCCAGGGCTTCTCGCCCGTGTGAGTGCGCATGTGCTGCTCGAGTGACTGCTTGGCAGACAGAGATGCGCCGCAGATATTACACTGAACAGGTTTGTCTGATGGAGAGTCAGCGACTGCAGATAGCTGCATGCAGGTGGGTGGAGTCTACTTACAGCCAGTGTGTACTTGCATATGGCGCTCGAGCTTACTGCGTTGACTGAAGGTGGTGTGTCTTGTGCAGCCTTGCCATTGGCAGTAGAAGCCGGCGTGATCCTTTTTGATCTGCTTCAGGTGGTCTGACTTGCAGTGGTCTTGCAGCGCCTTGTGGTCGCTGCACCTTTGGCCGCAGATTTTGTGGCCGCCCATGCCATCGGGCATGAGCCAGCGGCAAATGTTTTGGTCTTCTGGCGAAACCGAGGGAGAAGCTTCGGGCGCAGCGGCAAAGTAGTTTGTGCCTTCAATGGTAGACGGTGTGGGTAGAGAGGCGGGTGTGGGGGAGAGAGATGTAGCTAACGAGAGATTGGTGGAGGGAGAGGTGGTGGAGGAGAAGTGATTGTGATGGTGGTGATGATCATCGAGCATATGATGCGATGTCGCGTTTTGCAGCGTCTTGTGCATATTGTTTCCATTGGCCATGAGTGCCGGACGATGCTGCTGAAAAATGTGCTGAGCAAAGTCATAGGGGTCTTGGATCTGGAAACCGCAAATGGCGTCGACACCATGCGGGCTGATGCCGTCTGGAGTTGCAGAATGCTTCGGTAGAGAGCACATTGGCATAAGAGAGCTGGGCTTATCGGCTATACACGAGTGCATGTGGTTGTCTTGATGTGTCGGATCATGGTACTGCATAATGTGATTGGCGAGAATGAATTCGGGGGCAATGTCCCACATTTGACCAGAAAAGATGGGAGCGTTGCCAAAGGGATTGTCGAGGGAAAGAGACGAACAAGGAACTGTAGGCAAATCTAGGTATGCGGCATCGGCAATGCTTGGAGTTGGAGGAACAGTGTGCGAGGTAGAGGCAGGGGCGGTGGTCGTGATGCCCTTGTCTCCAAACGAGGTGAGGGCGACGGCAGCAGCGGCTTCATTGTCCGTGATGGGACAGGCTGACTGGGAGCACGGGACAGACGGGGCTTTGCAATCATCGTCGACGCAGAGGCCGGGAGGACCGCAAGCATCATCGTCGCAGCAGACGCCACGATCCTTGTCGTCACATTGGCTAGGACAACTCCCTTCGCAGTCCGAGTTGCACGAGGCGGCGCAGTCGTTGTCATGGCAGACATCAAAGCTGGAGCAAGCCATGCCATTTTGTAGCAAGGTGTTTGTGAAGATGGTATCCCATGGTGATGGATAAGATTGCAGATGGTGGTGCTCGGCTGAGGGAGCGCCGGGTGCAGAAGTCGGGTTGGAGATGCTGTGTCTTTGGCGAGTGTGTGTCTGAGAAAGGCTGCGCTGAGCCATGGCGGGGGCCTTGGTGGCGGACGTATGGCTCTTTGCGGCAATGTTGCAGTGGTTGAAGGCGTTGTGGTCGAGGCAAGAGTCATCGTGAAAGCCGGCGGCAAAAGAGTCCAGGCCATGCGTCAGGCCATGGGAAAGGGACATGTCGATGGGGAGGAGATTATCGAGATCCAGCGCCATGGCGGCCATGTCATTGGAGGGCGGGCCGCTGAAAGTCATGTGTGCCGCGTCGTCTTCCATAATGAGTTGGCAAACGACGAGAAGAAGGCTTTTCGGGACAAGGCGAGTAAGGTAAGAGGGGCAGACGAGGCCCTTTGACCGTTGGGTTCAGGCAGGGCGCGCGGTTAAGCCACCAACAGGAAGCTGAGGCTGAAGGAGATGAGGAGGGGGGGGGAACAATATGGAGATGCAGCGTGCGAAACGGTTTCAGCGATGTGATAAGCGCAAGCCTTATGGGTGGGAATGAGGCGAATGCGCTGGTTGACGCCGGTGGCCGCTCATGGGGGGGGGTAAAGTGTTGGGT